AAATTTGCATAAATAATAAAAGGACACAATGACCACAGCTAAAAACAGCTTGTGATTAATAAAAAATTCCTTATAAATTATTAATCATTATGGGCGCATACTATGGATTTCATTCTTTCAATTTTTAGCTAGTTTTAGAGTGAATTGAAGAAAGAACCAAATTATGAGATATATCGTTTGTCAACATAACGCGCCTTTTTATCTCACCTACTGGCTACAGATAATTCAGCCTGTGCAAATATCAAGCTCATTAGTCATAAAATACTGAAAGCTCTTTATGTATATATTTGAAGAGTGCGAAAAACTGGCAGCAGGGATGAAAGTCAAAATAAGTTGTTGATAAAAAATACGAAAAGAAGTGCCGCTGATAAAGCAGATAAATAATGCCCGTGCGTTGGGTTTCTGCTAAGAGAGTGGATAGGTGACGCGTGCGAGAATAGCAAAAGCACCCCTTGCCCGTGATGCCCTGATAAACAGCCAGACATCTGACACCCCAAGAGGAGCTCCTTATTTATAAAAAAGCGTAGCGCACTCTCTCTTTTGCTTGGATCTCACGTGCTTTTCCTTTTTCCTCAATTAATCCTCTCATTATTCATTCTCATCACATAGAGAAAAGTGGCAACCAAAGCAACATTCATATTGAAATTATGAGACTAACTAAAAGTCTTGCCATAATCGCTGCTCTCAAATATAAATTGCTTGTTATTAAATTACATAAAAAGCATTTTATATTTTGCTTGAACGTTTGCATTTTATTTGATATCATTAAATTTGATATATGACTTTCAATTATGTTTAGATTTTGAAGTCATTATGTAATTTCAAAAAGTCAACAAAATCAAGATGATTAAAAACGGAATTTGAATTTGTGTGAAACTTATTAAATTAATTTTGTGAAAACTTTGATATACAGACTTGTTCCAAAATATCCTTGCTATGCATCAAGATTAAATAAATAAATTTTCAAAAAAGGGATTGACAAAATTTTTCACAAGATCTGGTTATAAAGTTTGACAAAAATAACTTAACCATAAAACTTTTAACTTACATTTAAGCCTAAAAAAACAAGCTTCTCTGCACATACACCTTATTGATGTTAGTTGTTAAAAATGTTTAATTACATTTTTGCTCTAGGAGCTGCCCTAAAAACTACTGGAGGGGGTGGAGACCGGGTCGAATTATTCTGTTCCGGCTAATTATAGCTGATCGACCGGCGGGTGATCTATTTAAAAAATATCAACAAATCGGCCTGATTGACCGAATGAATAATTTACGGCTTCATGAGCAGCGTGAATAATTTAGCACGTTTTCAATTTCAACCCTGGCCTGTCGTGTTCACCGGGCTTGGCCAACCGACGCGAAAGCACCGGAGCGAGAGGTGTTGCACAGGTACATATTCTGCCTAAGCCACCTCCTTCATGGTAACAAACACACATGCAAGCACACTCTGGGAGGCCAATAACCCACACCTAACCGCCACCGAGTGAGACCGACCGAGCGCCGAGCGAGCGACAGCGGCTGCCTGGATGGTTGACTAGCCTTTTCTCTTCGCCGCCGTCTCAAATTATCAGTGGGTTGGCCACGCTGGCTAAAAATTGCTGTTGTTGCAAAACACACCGAGACTAACCAACTTATATATGATGCTTGCGAAGGAATAAAAAAAAACTGAGATTGAATATTTTAGTTAAGCATTATTCATCCTACATATAATAAAATATTTTGCTGTGAAAACTTCATTATTACGTATTTAAAAATATGCAAACTAATTGCAAAAAATTGAGACCTACAGTAACAAAAGCAGATTGAAGAAGGAATTTAAACAAGAAAATTTTTGAAGTTTATTTGGAAAAGAAAGCTCACAATCAGAGTTCAAAGGACTGATTTGCGACTAACGTTGAAGGGTTGTATCTCACAAATTTATTTATGACTATTAATACAGAAGATGAACCAAGAAAATTGTCTACAGGTCAATGTGTCTCAAATTAAATCAGCGGCTAATTTATTTTTGCAAATATTTCTGGGCAGTAGAATTATAAAAGAGTATCAAATGCAATAAATAATTATTTTCCAGTGCTAATTCATTTATTTTTTAATTTGTATCCGGCCGGAGAAGAGTAAATTTTTTTGTAATTTGTATGATTCCATTTACTGCTCTTGTATCAATCTTAATTAGACTAGTATGCTAAGTCTAGTTCTGGCGTAAGCAAAATAACAGTTTTTATTAGTTTTTTCAATAGACTCGCCACTCTGCTTGTGTGCTGTATTATTTTTTTTAATAAAATATTATTACTACAAAAAATTAAATAATTGGCAGAGCAAAAATAATGTTAAGTAAAATAAATTACATTAATTACAGGATTACATCACCAATTATAATTAGCTGAAGGTTCTATCTTGCACAAGGGTAAATTTCTCTTCTAGTTTAATTTTAAATTATTTGTCTGATTTTGTGTGTAGAGATTTGCAGATTTTTTATTTAGACAGAAAACTTGTTGCATAATCATACTAACAAAATATTTAAATTGCATAACAAGACTCACTGCGGCGGATGGGAGCAAATCTTCAGTGATGCCTTTATGTCCAACAGTTAAATTTTGTTCCGCCCAACCCTTTTTCACTTCATGTAAAAAATTTGTACCAATTTTGATAAATAAAAAACAATAATGATAAATAAATTTAATCAAAAACAAAAAATTTTTATATTAGGGAAATCTTTAATTATTAAATTTTTGCAAATTACTTGCTTTTTGTGTGCTTAAATATTAAGAGTGAAAGGGAATGGACACCTCTAGTGCAAAAATATTACTACATTGTAAGCTTAATATCCTCAAGCCAGACATTGCATGTATGTAAGACGCGTATGAGGCGATTCAAAGCGCTGGGGGCCTTGAAGTTTCGAGCTATAATGTGGTGCTGAAGCGGCCAGTATATCTTTTTTCCTTGCACTCAGCCAAAGCCAAAAGACATGAGGACCTAACAAAAATCAACGTTCCCGACCTTGACTGTGAAGAACGACGCAGTTTTTTGGTGCCATTTTTTTTATAACAAGTAAAAGAAAAAAGTGTACCAGGAATAATTTGAATTTCTATTTTGTTCTAGATTTACGCACCAGTCTTTGAATATCTGGTATTAGGTTCCAGAAATACTTCGCTTTTCTTTTATGCTATAATAGATACAGTTCAATTGAAACTATTGATACATTAGAAAAAATATCATTTAAAGTTTTTCAGTGGCAATAACAACAAATTGTAATGGAAGAGCTATGCTGGAATTCAAATTTTTTTGCATTTTAAATAAAAGTAAATAAATAAGGATAAGTTTTTACAAATTAGAACTAAGATAAGCCCTATGAATCAATAATTAAAGAGTATAATGCATAATAATGATTTCAAAAAATTACCCAGATATAAAATTAGAGAAAAATAAATAATTTTACGGTACAAGGCTACCTAGGACAACAGTTGTAAATTTTGAAATGAAAATTTTCTATAGAAAAAGGGGCCAATTTTGATCAGTTTCCAAAAGAAATTTGTGCGCGCAAACGTTCCGAAAGTAAAAAAATCGTGAAATTAAATTTGAAAATTCCCATTGTTATTTGCCATTATGCACAGCACTGAGGCTGCGTGTGCGATGCCTGGCGGATGAAAGACGAATTAAAGAGCAAGGACGTCGCATTTAAAGATACGATTTTACGAAAATATCGATTTGTGAATCACGAAAATATTTCCAAAATTAAGGGTGACGGCCAAAAAAGCAGCATAATTTACCGCACAATTTGAAGCTAAAAAAAGAGGATACACTTCAGCTCAGGGTCGCTAGGTACATCAAATCAGAATTTTTTTAATAAAAAGTACAAATATCTATGTTTCTCTTGCTTACAAGTCCGTTTGCAGACAACTCCTTTTGTGGGCAACTACGTTGTGGGTTTGCGAGCTTCGGGCTGGAGGCGCGCTCGCCCGAGGACGTGGTGAAGGCCGGCTCCGGGCGGGACAAAAGGGCGGGGATCGTGGGGGGGCTCCTGCGGAGCCCCCCCACGAACACAGCCGCCCTTTTGTCCTCGCCCTCCGCACGGCCTTCCCCACGTCCTCGACCTCGCTGCGCCTCCACCCCTCGCTCGCGGCTTCTGCAAAAATTAATCTTGGGGGTTGCCCAACTCCGAGTTGCCGGTTTGTGGGGTGGTCTGGTTCGTGGTGTGCGTGCAATTTCCCCTCACGTGGGAGTTTTGCAAAAATCAATTAATTCAAAATTCAATCAGGATTGTAGAGTACCCAAAAATATCGCCCTTAAATGCCTTAAATCGATAAAATTGTCCCATTTTTATGCTAGTTCATTAATACACTACATGTGGCGTGACGGTTTTTTAAGAGGAAACTCCCGTCTAGGTGGCGTTTTTACATCTGTATGCATTAAAAGTAGTTAATAAACGCCTAATTTTATTTCAACTCTCATTACTTCCCATTTCATTTGCGCCGGCTTTTCCTTATTGAGAAATGTTCAGCACACTATGAGGAATGTTTTGATATAAAAAAATTTCATATTGACAACTGTTGTCCTCAATGAACTTCTGCCTAATTGTACTTGCAATACATAAATTTGCATAATTCTATGTTTTTAATTACAGTGCATAATGTATTTTCGCAAACGTTTTGAGCGAGTCTGTGAGTTGTTCTTGTTCTTTCTTTTTAGCTGCCGCATTCCTAACTGGCCAATCCTTAAAAACGCCTGCTGGGCCTCTCGGGGGAGGAACCTAAGCGCGACAAAAACCAATTTCTAACACAACCTCGAACGGCCAAGAGGCCCATTATTTAAAAAAGACTTTCTCAATTCGTCCAGTTTTTGGTGCAAATACATAATCCCCGAAACCGAAGGGGCGACGATTAGGGAGAGCTTATTAATAAATAAATCTCAGCCTCGAGGACGAAACAGGTTGTAGGATGTGGCCGCCGCCGCCGCGCGATTACATGGTGTAAACAAAAACAAAACGTTTTTTGGGCACTCACCAAAGTAGGGACCTCAACTCCTGGGACAATGGGCACGCATCACGCGCTGCACTGTACAGTTCTAATACTATAGGAACCCGACTACAATTTGATTGAGTTTAACACAGAGTTGCGTGAATGCAGCAATATTAACACAGTAACTCACAATGCCACACGTCTCCTCTAGCCACAATGGCTGCTGGCTGACGAACGGCACTGGCAACAGAGGTGTTGCATGAAATTTCACGTCCCCGAAGCGATGGCGACCGAAGAAAACACAGCGCACAAGTCGGGCGTTGTTGCCAGACCAGAGCCACCTGTCGGCGCCTTCGAATTTAAAAATTTACATATACCTCACTCTTTGTCAAAATATTTAAATATTCTGTTATACTTGGTTATTTAATCAGTGTTGTTATAATTAACTGAAGACCTTTAAATGGTTTAAAAATTAAACATTGAAATTATTCCAGTATTTGAGCGACTAAAAACATTTTATTGTTCCAGTTCAGGGATAATCTGTATGGGAGGTGGTACGTTCTGCCGTTTACCATTCCAAATTGACGACAAAAGAAGACTTTCCTGTAAAAATAGTCCCAAAATTGGACTTGGTGGAACAACAGGGCCACCATATCAAAGGCTAAAAAATACTTTGATTTGTCCATCACGCAAGTACCTCCGTTGAATAGCTAAGGGAGGCAATCCGAGGCGTGACGAAAAATCTAAACAGGTGTGAAACAAAAGTATGAACAGAGAGACGCTAGCAACAATTAATGTTTTTAGTTGGCAAATGGCGCAGTCAGCGTCAATGTGCAGTCTGGAGGAAAGTCAGCAGTCACCAAGCTTCCCCCAAAAAACCGACCGATTCCACGCCGACTACTCGTCGATGATGGTGTGATCTTCCTTTACCAAGAACTCAACTTCTTCCTCTTCTACATTTTTCGTGTCCGACTCCAGTTCGTCGGTGTCAACATCTACAATTAATTTTGTAACAACATTAACAAAAGAAATCAAAATTATTACTATTGCGAAGCTCCAGACGTCTTTTCTTCTGTGCATTCCATGCATCAATGTTCTTCTGGCGATACTCATTGAACGCCTTCATCAACTGGCAGCGCTTCTCAACAAGTTCCTAAAAAAATTGGAGAAATATGATAAAGAAAATCACGAAGCCATTACACTTCAATACCTTGGAAGCTTTCGATGATCGCATGCGGTCCTTGCTCTCAAACTGAGGCGTGTACTTCTTGAGGTTCTTCTTGATTTCCTTCTGCTGCTTAATGCTGAGTAGGGTTGGAGGGCGCGGACGCCACATGAGTTGGCAGAAGCCGTCAATATTGTGCTTCTTCAGCTTCTTGCCCTGGAATGACCAAAGCCAAAATCCGTTGTCCACCTACACAATTTTCATTAGAACTGTCACAAATGTGATGTGAAAAATGTGTACCTTTTGCTTCCAGAAGGACACACCAGTGACAATGTAGCGACCTGTTGGGTCCCACTCAACATCAGAGGCTGTGTAATGCTCTCCAGAGTTCATTACCACAAATTCATTGGTGTCGACAAATTCCAATGAGCCGTGCATACTGCGCAGACCAGCCAGCACTATGAACTGGCCCATTGGTGACCAAAACAGGTGGTTGCACTGCCTCTTCTCAAATTTCTCTGCAAAATTAAAGAAGTTAAATATCATTTTGTGTGAAAAAAATTTAAAAATAAACTTACTGAGCAAGGAAGGAGGCTGTCCCTGATTGACACCATAGAAGCTGACATTGATGTTGTGCTGGTCACCATGGATGATGGCGAACTTTGAGCCGATTGGCTCCCAGGCAAATGCCTGGATGGGCTCCTTGATTTCCACACTATCCACAGGGATAAGTTTCTCTCTCATGTGGAATATTTCAAAATTGTAGTACATTCCCTAAATACAATACAATATTGAAAAGTTTTGAATTGCTGATGAAAGACATTAATTTTTTTATCTTTTGGGTATTATTTGATAAAAATTAGAATAATTACCAGAAAATGTCCAGCTCCTCCGTTCTTTATGTCCTGAAACAAAATGGGACATTTTTTCAATTGCATAGCAAGAGAGACATTCAAAATTTAACTTTTATCCTTATAACTCCCAAAAGGAGTCAAAAATTTAAGAACATAAAATGGCATATGGCAACTTACGCTGTACTTAACATCGTTTTTCTCCTTCTTGACTTTGCTGTATCGATCCACCTTGACACACAGATAGTCTCCAGATTTTTGCCAGTGTATTTTGCAGTCGGCTACGTTGAAAAGGTTGTTAGCTCGCACCTCCTGACGACTGGGAATTTCGAGCAGGCACACCCTGGCTGGTACATCTTTGTCCTCGGCGACCCAGTAGACGAGAATATTATCCGTAGGTGACCAGGCAAAGTCTCGTATACCAGGAATTTTTATGCTCCTCTTGTCCAGAAGGCCAAACGACTAATTTAAAGATATGCATTAATGACAGTAAAAATCAACTAAATGGAGTAACCAAAATAAGCAAATATTAAAATAAAAACTGTTTTCAGAAAAGATTAAGCCATAAATGCATCAGCATTATTCAGTGAATTATAAATTTCATCATTTCAGCCATAGAATGTTAATGCTATAATTCTCACCGGGGTCTCATAAACACTAAGGATGTCTTGGCCAAGACGAGCAAAGTATTTGTCATCAGGTGACCAACGGAAGATGGGCCACACAGAAACACCATCTAAAGAGAACGAGCGTTTCTCAGCACCAGTGCGGGCGTCCCAAATGATCACTCGACGCTGATCAGAAGGTCCATCAGGGGAATATGTCACAAGGTATCTAAGGAAATTATTTTATATAAATAAATGAAAATTATTGAGTAAAAATTTTAATACTTTTCACAGGGTGAGAAGTCTATAAGTTGCACTCCTGTATGGCTAAACCTCATGATTTGCTTGAATTCAGGTCCACCCCACAACGCGACACCTCTCGCGTGGAAAGTAGCCATGTAGGTTCCTAAAGGTGACCATCTAACGTATGTTTCAGACCAATTCTGTAATACAGAAGATTAAATTTTAGGCCCAAACAGTTGAGGTTCAATTTATCACAAGAATCGAAACTACTGTTATCAGAAAAGATTAAGCCATAAATGCATCACTACAATTCAGTGAGTAAAATATTCATCATAATTATTTTCGATATTAAAATAATGTTTTTTAGCTTACGGGTCGCTCCTCAACAACGTTGGGTTCAGGGGCGGAATTTTGCCAAATCTGCACATTATTACCGCCTCCGCAAATGACACAATACTGGTCGTACGCATCAGGATCAAGAAGATAATAGTGGAGATTGCCTTGGTCTTTGTACTCCTGAGGCTCTGGGGGTGTCCACTCATCAGGGATATTCATATATCTGAATTAAACATTTTACCATAAATCTGGATAATCTTAAAAGATTCATTTTTGTCTTACTTTTCAAAATCGCTATAATGATTGACAAGGAAAGTGTGCTGCTTGTCAAGTTTGTAATTGTTCGTTACACTGACAGCTTCAGCAGCTTCGCTAGGGTGCTTGTATTCCAAAAAGATGAATCTGTTTTTAAATCACCAATTAAAAATAAAACATAATACATTAAAATGTTGTTGGTACCCTTTAGTGTTCTTTTTCTCATCAACAGGATAATACTCGTTAACAATTTCTCCGAATTTGGAATACATCTTCTTGATGACGCCCTTCAGCTTCTCAAGGCGCTCAGGCCCAACTTGAGGGACGCCATCGACAACAATGATTCCTTCATAGCTATCCTCTTCCCTGGGCTTGGAGATGAGGTAGTCCGCAAGAAGTTCTGTAATCGTTTGGGAAACTTATTTTATTTCAAACCTCGAAAATTAATTACAATGTCAAAAAGTTAATTTTGGTCTTAATAATATATAAATATGACGTATTGTGTAGTTGAAAGCGTATGTAGTGCTTGAAAAAAAATATTTGAATTGTTCATGCCCTTAAAACATTTGCAAGCATATGGATTTCAGAGTAATTATGTACATCGGGTGCTTGTATATTATTAGCTATGTATATGCAATTTAATTAACACTTGTCTTTAGTCTCTAGAACAACTTTTTTAAATTGATTTTCACGGAGGGAGCTTCTTGAAAATTTTTATTGGGAATAATTTTGATAAATAATTGGGAGGCGGATGCCGTTGCACGTGTACAAAGCGACCACGGTGGCCGAGAGGCCGGGTCCACTTTAGAGTCTCACCTTCGTCCGTAATATCGTCGACGAAGTCCTCATCGTCGCTGAAATTTGGCTCTTCATCTCCGTAGCTCTCGGAACGATCGAAGCGGTTATTATCGAAATTTCGAGGGGATCTTTCACCCTCTTTTTTCTTTCCCATCTTGGAAACCGCGTGCGGTCGTGTCGGGAACACGGCTCAGAGAAACAAATATGGCGGAATCAGGTCGGAAGCCGACACCTGGCTGAAATCTGATTGGCTGAAGTTGTAAGTAACTTTAGTAGATTGCGAAGCGCGCCATATTAGAATGCCCGGGAGATTTAATTTAAAACGTGAATAGATTGGAAATTAAATTTTGCCGCCAGGAAAGATGGCAAAAAAGATCGTAAATTTATGAGGATTGGAACTTTCATCTCCGTCAACTTCCCTTGTCCCCCTTAAAAAATACGCGCCAAGCAAAATTTTCTCTTCGTAATCAGTAATCATTTGCCGCGTGGCATTAATATGTAACAATATGCGTAATGCGTACCGCAAAATTTAATAAATCAGTATGTAATAAATGAATCCTGATTCAAATTTTAATTTATAATTCAATTTTATGCATTGTTACTTATTTTGTATTATTTAAACTTAAACTTTAAAAAATAAGACTATCATTAGTTTACAGTACTTCCTATTAACAGTATTAGCAAGAATTAGTGCAGTGGTATCTTTGGGTTTTAAATAATTTTCACAGAATCAGCACAGTATTATTTGGAATTATTTACTCCACTATATAATTTTTTTTAAATCAAATGCAAAAAAAAATATAGCCATAAAAAGTTTCAATCGTAAAAACAATAATGTTGATTGCTAAAAAATTAATGAAAAGCAAAAATTAATTTTCAGAAACTAACAATTTACTGAGGAAGACATTAATAGTTTGTTCAGTGCTAAATAATTGCAAATCTAAATTATTTTTGTGTCTTAAAATATAACAACGATATACCAGGATTTAGGCTTTTTTTAACATTTCTCAAACACATTACAATTCAAAATCCTCTCCACATACCTGGCCTGGATATCCTGTAGACTCGAGTCTCATACGGGGAATATTACCAGTCATGAGGAGGTGCCAGGCGAGTTTTTTAGCCTCTCTCATCTCTGCGCGGCGGTCGAGGTGGGGGTTTTTCAAAGCGCCTGCACTGTAGCGGTGACCAGCATTCTTTACTCTTTTATTGCCGACGGTGCTTTTAGAGAGACGCAAACGCCTGGCGCAGGTAAAAATAAAAAAATCACTCCAATTTTATTACAAATTTCCTTTTGGGGTTAATATAAAATTGGTGTTCTTAACGGCTTATGAAATAGATCTTTGTGGGTTGCATTTGCACTCTTTCCATCTTTTATCAATTTTTTTCCCCGTTGGAAACGTTTTGTAACATCTAAAGACCTGGTTTAATTATCCTGCTTTAAAATTTGAAATCAAAAGTTTTCCACTCTTATCAAAACCTAGCTCCGTATCGTGACTTATTTCACGTTGACAAGGTGGACATATCCATAGATAACCTAAGTGTATCAAATTTGAAAAAGGGCAAACAGGGCTGGAGACAGAAGCCGTAAAGTAGACCAATATTATTATTATTATTTAACAAAATGGACATGTAACGAAGGAAAAGCGCAGTAAATATTCTATATCAATTGTAATTTTGAAAAAAATTAATTTTTACCTTAACTGTTAATTTATGCAGGTTACCGGTAGCGATATAGCTATGAAAGGGTTGCTCTTGTGGGGCGCCCTTTTGGGCACTTTGCTGGAACTAGCGGGCGCCGCCACCCCCTACGTTTGCTATTCTTCGGACCAGGACCCGTACCTGCAGTTTGGTACCAGGACGTCTTATGAATTTTCTTCGGGTCGGACGGCTGGTCCTGGAGGTCAAAGCGACAGAGGCATTCCCGGTTGCAGGCCTCTCACAGTGTGGATGGTCGCAAGACACGGAGCGAGAAACCCGAGCGGCTCCGAGGCGGAGAGGCTTAGGCAAATCACCAAGCTCAAAGATGAGGTCAATAGGAATTATGAAGAAAGAAGTGAGTTTTTCTTATAAACCTCATATTATGGTGCAGTCCATTTTTTGCATCTTTTATTGAAATGAATTATTTTTTTAAATTTGGAATGCAGTTTAATAAATTAAAATTATTTTAATTTTTATATTTTCCTGCTTCAAAATTTGGAAAATTTGTATAATGAATTCATGGCAGAATTAAATTATACAAGATTCGTCCACTTTTTCATGGTCATAGTAGCCATCAACAGTATCGCGCTCTGATATAATGGTTTAGCGAATGTGCGTGACAAAACGTCAATGAGAAAAAATAACAAACACCTGCTGCCATTAGACCGCTCTATTCTCCCTTCAATCATTATTTCCGATTATTTCACTTGTAACTTTGCCATGAATAATTAAATAATATTGCATTCTGATAAAAACACCTAAAAATTAATTTCAGCAAGCAAATTGTGCCCGTCGGACGCGCAAAATCTGCAGCAGTGGCAGTTCACTTTCAACTCGGTGGAAGAGGATTTGATTTCGCAACAGGGAAAAGAGGATATTAACCTTTTCGCAAAGCGGCTTAAGAGCCGTTTTGAAGAATTGCTCGGCCAAGAATACAATGATCAATCATTTGTGGTGAGAATTAAAGCCCGCCACATAAAATATTGACAAAAGTTTTGAGTAAGCCCCGCAATCACGCACGGTCTGTATTACACACTGTGGCAACGCATCAAAACAAAATGTAAATAGAGAGCAACTGCAACTTCATAAAAGTTAAAAGTCGGCTGTTCTAGAAAAATCAATTTTCACAGACAATGACCCACTTTTACGTGCGCCCTATTTTTCCCATAATTATCTACACAAATAATCATCAAATGATTAGCTAACAATTTTAATTTTATTAAATTTCCCTGCTAATAATGCAAATTAATTTCAGTTTCGCCACACTAATACACAACGGGCAAAAAACAGCGCTGAGTCTTTTGCAGACGGCATGTTTCCGAATATACCAGTACGCTTTCAGTCCACTGGTGATAATGATACTTTGTTAAGAGTAAATATATTTAATTTTTTTACATGGTTAAAAAACTTAAAAATCCCCTATTATAATTCAGAGTTATAAAAATTGCCCTGCATGGGAAGCGCTTGTCGATAACAACCCTGATACGGTTCAACAAATGGACGCATATTTGAAACTCCCAGAATTTGTTCGAATAACAAGCGAAGTCAGCCAAAGACTTGGATTTCGGTACAACCTAACCCAAGGTATATAAATTAATTTAAATTGCAAACAGTCTAATGTAACTAAATTTTTTCAAGATACACTGTTATATGCGTATGATATTTGCCGCTACGAGAAGGCAAATAATATAAAAATCACATCACCGTGGTGCGCAATTTTCACAACTGATGAACTGAAGGTAATTTCACTTTTAAAAGTAAAGTATTTTTCTTTTCAAATGAACTTATTATTGTTCCTAGGCGATAGAATATGCCGAGGATTTAAAGTTCTACTACAACGCAGGTTACGGAAATAGCATGAACGCAAAACTTGGGTGTTCCCTCTTACAAGACATGATGTATAGATTTCGGTGAGAGAATTTCATTTATTTGATTTTGCACTTAAAAAATTCCTTTATCCAAAAGAAATGTGTCAGTTGGAAGGACCGAAGCATCAGGAGTTTTCTACTTCACGCACATCACCTCGATTTTGAACCTCCTGACACGAATGGGGGTGGCCAACGACCAGCCACCATTGAATGCCAACAATTATGCAAGCCAAAGTCGGCGCCAGTGGAAAACCTCCGCTCTGGCGCCGTTCAACGCCAACCTGGCCGCAGTTTTCTTCAACTGCACCGGAAATAACGGGCAGGTGGAGCAGAAGATTGTGTTTTATCTGCAGGAAAGCGTGCTGCCGCTTCAGGGGTGCGAGGCAGGCATTTGCACTTGGGACTTTGTTCGCGATCGTTTCATGTCTTTGGCCGACGAGTGCAACGTGAATCGAACATGCGCCGGACAGGACGGGGCAGGACAACTAGCAGTCTCGCTGCTGGCCATTTTTATTTCCTTGGCAGTTAGCGTGCGATTTGTTTAAATGATTGATGATAAGGTATTCAAACTTAATGCAACTCTTCAAGTTCAAAGCCAACCAAAAATGTAGATCAAAAATAATGTTAATTTATATAAGTTATGCTCTATTGAAAGGATGCTGGTGAAAGGGCACTGCGCATGATTTGTCTGATAAAGAGATTAAAGTCAAAGCTAAAAATGATTTTTGTCTTCTATCCAACCAAAACTGAATATTCTCTATGCTAATTAAATTATAAGCTTATCTTCTTTGCCGAAAATAATTCTTAAAATTGATGAGAAGCAAATTTCAAAAGTTTTCGTCAGTTAAAAATTAAAATAAAATAATGAATTCACACTCACATAGCATGATGGCATCATATATTTCTCATAATAAGCAGATTAATTGTAAATTTCTTTGATGCTATGAACCTATGTCGGAGCACTGCGAGTCCTTTCTTGATCTCGTGCTGTTTTTCCGCTGGCGCATCTGTGCCTTTGCTTTTTTGGCAGCTGCTTTTGCATCGGCTGCCTCTTCCTCGTCTTTTTTCTCTTGATTTTTCACCCTCGTTTCAAACATTCGGGACTGCTGCTCAACCACCTCTGGATGCCTAATAGAATATTCAGTTAAATTTCCAGCAGAATTATTAAGTTATACTTTTTAATAAATTGCTTGTCCTCGTCAAGTTTGAATTTCCACCCAACTTTTGACACTTTGAAAGCAATTTTTGCCAGAATTTCGATGATGTCCTCTGCAGGAATTTTTGTCAGCTTCGTCAACTTTTTACATGCAACTGTTTCCTGGGTAGTGAAAGTCAAAAGCTGAAAATAGCAGAGTTAAAAACTATATAATATTTAAGAAACTTAAGGGCTTACAATTTTATCCCTTGCAGTCACAAGCCTGTCTGCAGTGACACCTCTACTGCTTGCGAATTCTTTGTCATACAGCAAGCTGCTTTTCAAAACCCAGTTTCCCTTTACCAAATCGGCAACGCGAATCAAACCAGAAATGACTTCTTTCTCAGAAGCCGAGCTGCTCAGCAAATATTTCAACCTCGAAAATTTTATCACATGGACTAAAACAAGTTTGATGAAGATTTAAATTATTTTCCAAAAATTGATTTACCTTGTTTCATTCTTTCTTTGATCTGCTCCGCCAGAGGCAGTTTGCAAAGCTCTTTAGCTGACAAAACGCCTTCCGCAACATCCTTATTGGCACCATCGTCAGCTTCAGGTGGGCACAAATTAGGCAAATAAGTATCAGCCGAATCACAAAAAATGCTTGATAAGTCTTGATCTGTTTGCTCGCAATTCAGCTTTTCTCTTTCAGTCTGGAATAAAAAAATCTTTTTAATGCAATATTTAATTTTTTTTTAGCAACATTACTATTGATTTGAAGTGATTGGATATGTAAAATTCAGTTTCACACCACGGCTCTTCATCTCTTAACTTCTGGTGAACTGACATTGACTTTGACTGGGCGAGCTTCATTCTTTTAGCACTCTGGCTGGCAAATCTGACGCCCACAGGTTTTGCTTGAGATGCAGAAGGTTCTCCTTTAAACAATTTTATATCAAACAACTTCTAACTTCTAGGGAAAAAAACTGTTTACCTTCTTTGTTTGTTTGTTCTTTCCTTTTGGGAGGTGCGTCCAAGTATTCATAGGAAGGCTTCAAGAAGACCATTCCTGCAAGAGGATTCAAATGTATTCCGTCACTTTGCGGAACTGCAATTGCATAGCGTCCAGGATTTTTTGATACTGCTGTACACGAAGTTAGAACTTGTGTTTCAATCAAATGTCTGTAAAAATAATTATAAAATATCGTAATTTGTATCAACTATATCATTGTTTATTCTTCACAAATCAAGTCAAGAAAATTAAAGACGAAAAATTTACTAGTAAACCTAGTAAACTTACTTGGTAGGATCCAACCCTGATTTGGGAGTCTTTGAGGCCAGCTTTCGTGCGAGATCTGTGTTAAAATTTTTGCTCTCAACGTCCAACCTCACGTGAAGCTCAACCTTCTGCTGGTTTGGTTTAATCCGCGACTGCAAATAAATTAAATATTATTTATTTATTTATAAAATAAACTAAATACATCATTATTTATTCATTCAATGGAAATATCGACAATGTAGTGCATTGTGAATTTAAATTTAATGATCTACAAAATTTCGTCAATTTTAAAATAATTTTAACATTTTAATCAAATTTTATATGTACCTGAACAACCCTGTTTTCCTCAAAATTATTAATGAGAGTATTTCTGCTGTACTCGTACAAATACAACTGGCCAGCTGAAGCTTTCGACAGGAAGACTGGAATCTGAAAATGAATCGTGTTTACAACTTTTAAATTCAGTACACTTGCCGAAAGAGAAAAAAAACGCATACCCTCTGCACAACAGGGTCGTCATCTTCGTCAGTTCCATTTGTGAGCGAGTTAGAATTTGAATTTTGCGAGAACATGCTGCTTCCAGGTGGTCTTATTCTCTTATTAATTTTGATGCTTTATTTAACCTAACCTCACCCTCCTCTAGGAGCAATTGACAACGTGATCCACAATTTTGCAAGTCGTGCTTTGGTTGCGTTTGGGTTTTGGGTCGCGTTGATATTTTTCTGCCTCTTCCCGTCTTGACGTCTTCCCTGTGATGTGATTGGACAACAGCGGGGCGGAGATAGAATTAGGGGGCGTGGCATGTAAACAAAACGACGTGCTAGCTTTTCTCCATTGAAATCTTTGATCGTTTGCCGATTGGCAACGATTAATTTAGCGTTTCTCGTTGGCAACTTGGCAGGGTTGGCAGGTCAAAATTATTATGATTCGAGTGACTTCAAGTTTATCAAAGTCTGTGTATTAGTGTAAGTTAGATTGGTGCATATACACACATGTACATGTAGTGAAAAATTCTATGCTGCATTTTGCAAATTCAATTTTAAGAGATGATTCATAGTTTAAAAAATCATTGAAATTGACTAAATTTGTTGAAATGTGCCTCAAATTGCTCATTTATAATTTCATAGTTATGAGAATCAATACAAACATATGTATATAATTTATCATTTGATGATACCGTTGCTCTAGCGTTGTTGCGTTACTCACTTTTTATCTTATCGCAATCAAGCTCTTCTGGATGCCTCGGTTTTCAAATGAACAGAGATTTGTGCCTCTTGCAGATAGATACTTATTACGTCTACTTGCTCTAAAAGTCTGAATAGCCTTAAAGAAGGGAGAAGAACTGAGCAATATCGTAATTTATTAGTTTTATGATGCAACTTTTTTCATTATAAATTTGAAAATATTATTAAAACTTGAAAAGATCTGAAAAGAATTTTCAATTTCCTCTCTAACAAATAAGTTTGTTTATGTATCTATTTTTAGAGAAAAGTTTATTTATTTATTCAATTTTTCTTTTTCAGAATTTAAAATGCCATCGCAAGATAAAGTACAGAAAAAGCTCCAACTGCTCCTCACCAAGTTTATGGTCCAGGATCATCAAGTGATTGATGACACTTGTTTGGAAAAGCTTTTAACTCAACTTTCAAAAGAGGGTAATAATTGTACTTTCTTCTTTTAACATAACATATTAAATTTCTTTTTATACTCATAATCTAGAGTGTGGCTCTCAGCTTTTGCAACTTCAGGAGTGTCAAGGATTTGGGGAATGTGCTTTGCAGGCGTTTGAAAAAGGCGTGGTTGGAGAATCGGTGCTCTCCTTTGCTCTGCGGCTGCATAGTCTGGTGATCAAGGACGAGAAAACCTTTTCAATACCAGCTCTTCAGGAGTCGACAAAAAATATTGCTTGTGCCCCACGATGGATGGTTACCAACAATGCCTCGCTTCAGTTTTCCTTTGTCCAAATGGTCTCTGCCCTGCTCTACCACAACACAGGTGTCGAGTGGCTAAAAAACTCAGGTACGACAAAAGTTACCAAGATACATAAAGTATACCTTTTAATTATAAATAAATTAAAATGGAGTAATTTAAACTGCAATTAAACCATTTTCAGGTGTCTGGAAGACGGTGAAAAAATTGTTTGAAAATAACAGCAGCATTTACGTGGCTCGGGAATGTCAAAAGTTCCTCGTCTCGATGGTTTTGAAGACATTTGAGGTGGAAATGGAATTTTCAAAACAAATCCTCCAAGGTCCTTTGGACACTTTGAGCAGCAATAAAACGGATCTCACCTCATCTGCTAACCTCTTGATCAATGTTCTCGAAGAGGCGCTGAAAGAGAACAAGAGCAGGGATATTAGTGAAATTATCCGGCCTCAGCTTTCGAAGATTTGCAGTGACTATTTAGGTGTTTCAAATACAGAGAGCAGTGTCCTTGTGAAAATCGCAAATCTCGACTTGCTACTGCAGTTCTGTGCTGTGGAAACAAGTGTGGCTTCAGTTAGCACGTTGGAGGAAAGTTCACTAATGCTCATCAGCAAGCTGGTCTCATTAAAAGACATTACAGCAGTGCAAACCATCACAGGACAGTGCCAAATTTATTGGAAATTTCTCAAACCAAGGATTGAACACCTTCTGGGAAAGTGCAATTATGACGTACAAATTGTTTACATTCAGGTCTGTGCAGTAAAAATGTGTTTATACTTTTTGATAATATTTTTTGTGGGTTATTTAGATCCTGCCTATCATGAAAAATAAAAATGATGACATCAATATGCAAGACGCTGTAAAGAATTTCCTGGAAAAGTTGTGTTGTTGCACATCAGCTTTAACACAAGAGGTTGGATGCTGTTTCCGAAAGCTGTGTTTTAACCAGAGTACACACCAGAAAATTGCCTGCAGAAGTATTCAGTCTTTGATGCAGCTCAAAGAGGTTTTGGACAGGGTGAGAAAATGACAAATCAGCTTGATTCAGTATACAAAAATTTTCTTCTAGAGTACCTCTGTGTACATATTCAGAGCACTGATGTGCATTGTAGTCCAGTTGGTGTCCTGCGACAGCGCCGAAATTGTAGAGATCCAAGACTCTGGATTGATGAGGACCACCCTAGAGGCTCTAATCAAAATGATGGACCATTTCCATTTTACATGGACAGAAAGTTTTGAGACGGTTGAAATTCTCACACACATGCAGGACTTGCTTTGCATTTCTGCTCTGAAAGACAGGCAGGTGTCGCCCATTTTGCAAATCATGCGGAGGGCAGTCGAAGATTTCCTTCCGCCCAACCTGGCCCTGCTGACTAACACGCTGGAAGGCTCAACCTTGCAAAATTTAGGCCCTCAGCTATACAAGTGCATGCACAGCATAAGCTGGGAGGTTCGTGACAGCGCACTCGAAGTTGTCACCGTCATAGCCAAAATCTCTGTTGACAAATTTCCAGCCTTTCAAGTGAGTGAAAAAAAAATTTCATTGACATTTTAATTAATTTAATTACTTAGGAACACTTGGTGCAGCATAATTTGGCCAGTTTAGCTGTAGCTATGGCTTTAGGTGATGAGGACAGTTACGTTCGGAACTCTGCTCTCAAGTGTATCACGACAATGGTGGCTGTTCCCTATTATTGGGAAAGGTGTCTAAAGGACCAAAAACTGTTGGGCCTGATGATGAAAATTTTGTGCCAAGAGACGGAAGGGGTTGTTCGATATCCTGCTACCTCCCTTGCCAATGCCATGCTGCTGAACGACCGCTTGAAGTAATTTAACTTGGAAAACTTGAAATTTAATTATAATATATCTGATTCAATATTAGGGCAGAGGAGAAGGAGCAACTTTATTCAGTGATGGCTGCAGCTGCGGTTGGTGACCTGCACTGGGAGGTCAAAGTAGGCACTTTGCAGTTTTGGGAAACGTCAATCAACCAGCAGTTGATGACACAAGGCATGATTGACGGCCATTTCCCGGAAGTGACTTTCAGCAGCTCTTCAAGGCGCATCATCACCTTGAATGAGCGGGAGATTCGTAACCGTTTGCAGCACGTTCTGAATGAACTGGCACGGATCAAATGCTTGGCTGTGCTTATGTCAACGCTGTACGACCCTGACCTGCATGTTGTGAAAAAATCAGCGGAAATCACAAAACAGTTGCTCAAGCATTTGGACGAGCATGGCTTGCTGATCAAAGAAAACAGCATTGGGGAGGTTAGTTTTCTATTTATGGCTTTAAATTGCTAACCGAAAAACCTTTGTAGCCATTATGGCTTGTTTTACAGCAAAAGTGTAAATAAATCTGATTTGATCAAAAGATTTCGAGGCAAAATAACCGGTTGAAAATAGCATACCGGTTTGAAAATTAACACCGGTTTTTGAAGTTCAGCAAAATCGCCACCAGGCGGCACCGTGATCACATTCCGTAGGGAGAGAGTGAGTGAGGGAGAACAAAGTGGCGCGCGCATCACTCTCCCTCTAGAAGATTCTGACCAGCCGATCTGCTGGTATAAAAAGGCCAGCTCAGCCGGCAAGATTCATTCGGTGTTCGGTGCTTGGAGCTCAGGCAGAGCAGAGAGTGGGACCTCTCTGGCCAAGGAGCTAAGCATTCCGGATCATTGCTTGTTGGTTCAAGTTCATTGAACGGAAACAGCATTTCGTCAGCTTAGATCAATTGCTTGATTGGCTTAAGTTTATTAAGCGTAAATTAGCAATTGTTGTCAGGAGCCGAGAGAGATTCAAGTCGTATTGAGTGTTATTTTGGCTATAGATTAAATTCATAGATCAGATTAAATTGGTGGATAAGAGACTTCATTCGTGAAGGACTTTTTACCAGCCTTGCTGTTAGGTGCTGATTAAGTGAGATTTATCTGCTTAAGTCTATTAAGTGGGTTATTGATCTTATTCTGCAATCAGGTAGATTAACTCAATAGTTAAGGTGTAATTGGCTCAAGCTGATTGAGCGTAAATTGCATTCTTTTGATAGGCGTTTGAAGTCGGTGAATTGGTGGCTCAAGTCTCGATTGAGTACCTTCATGACTGATAGCGGCAGGTGTTTCATTTGACAGATATTGTTTAAGATAAAATCCCGTCAGCCTGGGTAGGCAATAATTGGAATAATTGATCAGAATATTATATACACAGTATAAAGGTGTAAATAGCAAAGTTTGTGTGAATAAGAGAATTAGAATTAATATTGCACTTAAGGTGGAAAAGAGTCGTACTTTGGTATATTCTTTTTTAGGGAACCGTGGCATTGTCAAGATTGTCGTCGGCGCCTTTGACTGATAAAAGAGGATTACCAAATATCAATTCCTTTTGTTTGAGTTCTGCTTTAGGGAACCGTGGCACTGTCAATATTGTCATCGGCGCCTTTGACTGATAAAGAAGGACCAAATAAATCAAGGATTGATTTTGTTAGATTTGATTAAGGGCTGCTTTGTTGCTTGGAATTCTTAATAGAAAGAAGTGGTTAGAGAATCATAAAAATCCCCTAGACACACCGATCTTCAATTAGCTTCTTTCTAGGTAATTGTCGCACCCAATTACCATCCGTTAGGAAAAGCAAAGCCCGAGGACTCTGTTAATTTGAAATTAGCATTTTATTAAGATAATCAAAAACCACCTGTGCGAGCGGTCGTCTGTCTCTTTGTTAGTCTAAATAGCAGCCTTAGCAATACCCTAGGCACTTGTGTTTAGGTGAGACACGGTCGCGCGTTACAGAATTGGGGGCTCGGCCGGGATCTGATTAAATTCAGGTTTTTGATTGATCTTCAAATATGGAAGGAGACGAATCTCAAGGTTCTCAATATAACTCCGCAGGGAGTAGAACGCCAAATCCTGTTGTCAATCAGAATCCTCCTCCAGCGATTCCAGACAACAAACAAGGAGGAGATGTTGTCCAAGGACAAGGAGATGTTGGTAAAGTGCTTGAAAAAGCATCCAAAAAATTGAAGAAGCATGACAAAATGATTGAGTTGATTCAAGATGTCACAAAACCCATGATGGATTTTGTGTGTCAAAGAAATGATGAGTTGAATGAAAATCTTCTCAAAATTTCTGAAAATGTGAAAAAACTCGCTGATGAATTCTTCACTTTTGCGGAGGCAAGTAAGAAGCGAATTAATCAACTTGACCATAGGTTTGATAATTTGCGTGAATCAAGTACTCCCAGGCAAAATACTCTCTTTAGTACTCCTGCAAATAGGCAGGAAAATGTCATTGATGATGATTTCACACTTGGAGAATCAAGGGGGCGTCGAGATACTGATAACAGTCGTGTTAAATTGGGTGTCTCTTTGCCTATCAGTCCTTATTTGAAAGGTGTGACAGAACGTCCAGAAGAAGATTTTTCTCGTTTGGGGGACAATGCTAGGGCCAGAGGTCGTTCCAAGGTTGTTCCTCCAATCAATGTGAGCTTGCCAACCTTTGATGGTGACAATAAAAGTTGACTCCTCATCTCTTTTGCAAACGTTTCATTGACTATGCAAAGGCTCTTGAGGAGACACCTGACTCAATTCTTGAGCGTGACATGCCCATTGCTTTGAAAGGTGAAGCCAGAAAGTGGTGGGAGTTTCATGAAGGTTTTACTTCATATGCTCAATTCAAAAAGGAGTTTATGAAGTATTTCCAGCCTCAGGAATATGATATAAACTGTCTCAAAGATATCGAGGTGAGATATCAAGGTGAAGATGAGACTTTGTCCCAATATCTGATCAATATCAAGGGAATGTATGATTCATTGTCAATCCTTGTGCCTATGCAAGAACAAGTATTGAAGGCCTATGGAAATATGCATCCTAATTACCAACAATATGTTGAAAACAAAGAGTATAGTTCGCTTCATGATATGTATGAAGACTCTTTCAGAATTGAAAAATCAGTCCAACACAGAAATAGATGGAAACCACCTTCTGCTTTTACCCAGGCTGAACCAATGTATGGGTATCAGAAAAATTCCATTGATGGGAAAAAGGTGAAGTTTAAGAGTGGGCTTCCTGAGGACGATAAGGGTGAAAACACAGACTCCAAGATGACTCGTCCTTTCATTCATAAGACCTGTTGGCACTGTGGGAGTGATGACCACTTAGCAGATGGATGCAATGTAAAACCTACTGCTAGAAATCCTCCTAAACAAGCTCCAGGAGCTAGATCCTCCAGTCAAGAGAGGAAAGAAACCATATAATACAGACAAGAAGATAAAGAACACTAGAATTAAGGATGTAAATATAGTTTTAAGTTTTAAGTTATGAGAAATAAGAGAACCATGATTGTAATAAGCGAAGAGTGCTTATGAGAGATAAAGAAATTTACACTTTTAGTAAAAAGTTTTACAGTTTTTCTCAAATGAATGATTTTCCAAAAACTGGCCTGGGTTTTGTAGCCATTATGGCTTGTTTTACAGCAAAAGTGTAAATAAATCTGATTTGATCAAAAGATTTCGAGGCAAAATAACCGGTTGAAAATAGCATACCGGTTTGAAAATTAACACCGGTTTTTGAAGTTCAGCAAAATCGCCACCAGGCGGCACCGTGATCACATTCCGTAGGGAGAGAGTGAGTGAGGGAGAACAAAGTGGCGCGCGCATCACTCTCCCTCTAGAAGATTCTGACCAGCCGATCTGCTGGTATAAAAAGGCCAGCTCAGCCGGCAAGATTCATTCGGTGTTCGGTGCTTGGAGCTCAGGCAGAGCAGAGAGTGGGACCTCTCTGGCCAAGGAGCTAAGCATTCCGGATCATTGCTTGTTGGTTCAAGTTCATTGAACGGAAACAGCATTTCGTCAGCTTAGATCAATTGCTTGATTGGCTTAAGTTTATTAAGCGTAAATTAGCAATTGTTGTCAGGAGCCGAGAGAGATTCAAGTCGTATTGAGTGTTATTTTGGCTATAGATTAAATTCATAGATCAGATTAAATTGGTGGATAAGAGACTTCATTCGTGAAGGACTTTTTACCAGCCTTGCTGTTAGGTGCTGATTAAGTGAGATTTATCTGCTTAAGTCTATTAAGTGGGTTATTGATCTTATTCTGCAATCAGGTAGATTAACTCAATAGTTAAGGTGTAATTGGCTCAAGCTGATTGAGCGTAAATTGCATTCTTTTGATAGGCGTTTGAAGTCGGTGAATTGGTGGCTCAAGTCTCGATTGAGTACCTTCATGACTGATAGCGGCAGGTGTTTCATTTGACAGATATTGTTTAAGATAAAATCCCGTCAGCCTGGGTAGGCAATAATTGGAATAATTGATCAGAATATTATATACACAGTATAAAGGTGTAAATAGCAAAGTTTGTGTGAATAAGAGAATTAGAATTAATATTGCACTTAAGGTGGAAAAGAGTCGTACTTTGGTATATTCTTTTTTAGGGAACCGTGGCATTGTCAAGATTGTCGTCGGCGCCTTTGACTGATAAAAGAGGATTACCAAATATCAATTCCTTTTGTTTGAGTTCTGCTTTAGGGAACCGTGGCACTGTCAATATTGTCATCGGCGCCTTTGACTGATAAAGAAGGACCAAATAAATCAAGGATTGATTTTGTTAGATTTGATTAAGGGCTGCTTTGTTGCTTGGAATTCTTAATAGAAAGAAGTGGTTAGAGAATCATAAAAATCCCCTAGACACACCGATCTTCAATTAGCTTCTTTCTAGGTAATTGTCGCACCCAATTACCATCCGTTAGGAAAAGCAAAGCCCGAGGACTCTGTTAATTTGAAATTAGCATTTTATTAAGATAATCAAAAACCACCTGTGCGAGCGGTCGTCTGTCTCTTTGTTAGTCTAAATAGCAGCCTTAGCAATACCCTAGGCACTTGTGTTTAGGTGAGACACGGTCGCGCGTTACACCTTTTATTAAAATTTGAGCATTATATTAACCATAATAAGAATGATAAGAATTATTTAAATAGAACGCCTGAAAATTGCTGTTAACGTTTGCTTTTTTTATAATTTTTAGTTGGCTGCTGCTGATTTAGGAGAAATTGAGGACGATATTCTGGATACCATTCTGCAAGACTTGGACACCCCAATGGAAAATTCTAAGAGTGTCATTGATGGAATTGTGGATGCTTCAGACCTATCCTTGCTCTCATCTGTTTGCAGAACGCAACTCAGCCTTTCAGAAAATGAGCCTGTGCCCTGTGCTCCGCCGCCTGTGTCTATGGTAGCGGCGGACGAGTTTTTAAAAGCAGCCGCCACCATGGATGTGGACCAGATCATAGCATCTAAAGAAGACTGGCTGCATCACACTCAAGACCACCTAGAGAGCCTTTTGACAGACATGCTTGAAGCTCGAGAGTTTACACACAACACAAATGACATGGACTGTTATTGAGAATTTTTTGTTATTTTAAGTTACAAACAATTTGGCTTCAGAATTTTGGTGATAAGTTTTTTTTCAGCATGTGATCTAAACAATGTAGATAACTCTTCCTAATTTTATTATCTACTATTCTAATTGATTGAAGATATCTTTTCTCAGCAACAAAAAGCTGTAAAGATTATAACCAAATAAAATTCTCTCTTTGTTAGATTTATATACTCACTTTTATTTACTCGTAATGAAGAATAATCAACATTATAATTTTACACCATCTCAAAGGCAAAGTCACATACAAATTAAGCAAAAATAAGCCACAATATTTTGGACGGAATTGTTAGTCAATCTTTATATTCATGCCTCCAGACTAGATAAAAATGTTATTACTATGCTACTCATATACATCTTTTTGTCAAACTTTCATTGGACGGAAGATATTCAGGCATTATATTTTCTTACGTGTTAACTATTGTATGTTAAGCTAATTTCACTCAAGTTGTGCTATAAACACCCTGGCTCAACGAGTGGACTAAAATTATAGAGAGCAGGTTGAACATTTCAAATTAAAGTTGCCAAGCTCTTAACACTATTAAATAGAGTTAAAAGTATTTTAAAACAATCTCAAAATTTATATTTCTTCAAAACATCTGGCAAAATTATTGTTAATTTTCAAAGAAACACGCACATTTTATAATATTTCAACAAAGCGGAGTCAATATTCAGCGGCTTTTGCTAGAACTTGAGTACTGTAGTATTAAATTGACAAAAAAAATTATAATAAATAGCAGACATAACAATGACGTCAGATCTGTTTTATAAATTAATTTGCAAAAAATATTATCATGTAAAAAAATCATTGCTAATTCAAAATAGACTAGAAATGCAGCAGTAGAGAGAAATCGATCCACTAGACGTCATATTTTAAAGTGGACATAAAGAAGTTAAACGCATGCAACTTGAGAATTTCATGCACTCGGTCAGCATGGGAGAATAAAAAGTACTGGATTGAGTGAGATAAGGTATAAGCAGCAGTTGTTGCAGTGTCGATCCGACTCCAATTCTCAGAGGTGAAATCAACTAGGAAGACACTCGAAAGTGGAATACTTGATATATTGTGTAGACAACGTTTGAGGGACAAGAAGGGAAATAATAAAATAGTACTTGAGCAAAATTTGTCTTTTGACCAAAATGTCAAAAGTAAAATCCGATAAAAAAAATCATTAATGATTTTATCAAATCTTGATTGGAACTGAGTGAGCAAACAAGATCAAAAAGTAAAATGGAAGCTGAATTAAAATTAATATTTGATCCCAGAAGAGGAAAATTTTGAATCGGCATCAAATCTGCAAAAATACAGAGATTAAAGAGAGTCGAGAATGGAGTCGAGCAGCTCGAGCTGTGTTTCATCCCACGATCCAGTGCCGCCCAGGAAGCCTGCTAAGTCGTCTTCGCCAAGTACCGTGATGTCCGCGCTTGGAGGCAACGGGCCTAAGATGCTCTGACCCGAGACATGACCACCATCCGAAGTGTCAAGGATGATTTGCTGCCGTTGTTGCTGCTGCTGTTGTTGGTGCAGGGCAGTGAGAGGAGCCACCCATGGAGCCACGGTGATGCTGACAGATGGAGTTGAGGGCTGTTTTGGGGGTGGCCGCCTCCTCTTGCGCTTGCGGGAAGCGCCGAGGCGCAAAACGCCGCCACGGCCCAACTGCGCCACGCTGCCGCTCACCTTGAGCGAACTGGTGTCAAAACACCAAAAGCCACCCTTGCCCGGCTCATCCTTGGAACGGGGCAACTTGACGAAGCACTTGTTTAATGACAGGTTGTGACGAATGGAATTCTGGAAAAAAATAGCTTGTTAAGATCAGCCTCTTTCAAATAAATTTTTTTATAATTTAAATATTTAAATTTCCTGGAAAATTTGACATTTAAAATTTTCTCAATGAAAAGTACCCAAATAAAAATATAAGATTGGAGCTCTCCTTTCGCAAGCTCAAAGAGGGCACGGGCTGATAAGACACTTTGTTTTGGCCTGACCCCCCCCCCCCCCCAAAAAAAAGATTAAAAAACATTATAATTTCATAAATAAATTCATATTTATTGAATTTTTTTTATTTTCCTAAATAATTAATTCAGTTTTATTTCCATATAAAAAAAATGATAATAACCCTCTTGTGAATTAAGAATTAAGCTATAAAAATAATTATTATTAATCTCTAATAATAATAAAAAATTGTTGGCAGTATCTTCTTTAGATTTTGGAATATGAATATAATTAGCAGAAAATTTATATTCCATCTGTCAGCAATTGAAACACTCGATCAATTTCTAATTGCTTGTTAGACGCGCCGCGTGCGGTAAATTTTGTTCGCCCTCCCTCGTCTTCCCTCTTATGCATGAAAACATCTGTCCAGTGGTCAGCAGAGCGTGACCCACCGGGCAATTCAAACGGCTCACTCACCTGCCAACTGGGGTCGGCATTGCGATAGTAGAGGAAGTTCTCCCTGATCCAAGCGTAGATGGCCGACAGGGTCATTTTGTTGTTGTGCGCCGACATGGCCATGCCAATGAGGGCCGCGTACGAAAAGGGTGGTTTCTTGTCGCCCTGCCGCCGGTACATCTCGAGCGGCGGTGGCGACGGCGGCTTCATGGGCAGCGGGCTGGGAGGCGGCGTCGGGGGCATTTTGGGCGTCAAACGCAGAAGGTCGCCGCTCTGGAGCCAACTCAGGCTCCGCAGGTCCTGCTCCTCATCACCGCAGAGCTCAGCATCGCCCTCATTGCAGGCGACGGGGCTGTTTGGCTCTGGAATGAATAATTTAAAAAATTGGTTCATTTGAATTTGATACACAATTAAATTTTTTTAAATAATCTGACTTTCAAAGCATTCTTCGAAGCATGCAAAATATTTAAAAATCAATCCGATTAGAAGGAAAATTATAATTGGGTGTTTAGCAAAATCTCAATTTTTTTAGTTGACCTAATGTGCATTTGTTTTTCTTTTCTTAATTTTTAGCTTCCACGAATTTTTTTGTGATTTTGTTTGCACTATTCTGAATTTTGAAAATTTAATTATTGTTTTAGTTTTTGAAGAACAATTTGTATGCATCCAGTTTTCCAATCCATTACATTTTTTATTTAAATAATGACACCTGTTAATATGGTTTTTTGGAACTTTTTCGAAATAATGCTTGCAATTTGCAAAAAAAAATATCTCCTAGCATATTTCTACTATTGAATTAATCATTTTTTTAATGTGCCAAAAACTATTTTGACATTTAATTATATAATAAATTTGAATACCTTTGGGTTTCCACATGCGCAAGAGCGGCGCTAATGCGAATTCGTTCAGAACCAAATTGAATGGTCGGAGACTATTGAGATGCGTTCTTAATTGTGGCGGTCACATGCAATATTGTCATTAATAATCCAACCTTTTTCTGTCATATTGCAGACGCAGACCCATAGTCATACACGGCTAAACTTTTGGTCTGATGATTGTGATTGACAATAATGCTGTTTGAAAACGATATAAAAGTAATTGATTTCTAACTCGCGCAGCAATTATAATGCAGTTTCGGCGCAAAGGTAAGAACTCTGTTTTTATTGTTAGTGCTTTTTTTGATATGACGTTGTCATACTGAAGGCAATAAAATCTTGCGTTAAAAAATTAGTTTGTGTGAAAGGGTTGGTCGACACACGTGGCCGGACAGTGGTCGAAATCGATTATCTTTTTGCCATATCACGTTCATGTTTCATTATTTATTGCCGCGAGCAATCAATAGTCCTCAAGGAAAAAGCTCTCTTCCGCAGTGAGAATATAAGCCCTCGATGGCGAGTGGTGGAGAGCTAGCTCATGCATAATAAATAAACAGGCCGAACTACATTTCAGGGGTTGGAACCAGCCGACATTATAATACTGACCACACGGCACCACCACCAACTTTAATTCATCCCCACCTATTCTCAAACACAGTCAAAATTGCTACTTGTAAATCGTGGAAATTATGCAAAAGCTGGTCCCGAATATACAATGCGTATTTTAAAACGTGTTTCTTTTCTACAGACAATTAAACTAAAACTAGCGTACACATTTGTAAAATAATTATTACTCAAATTTCTAATATTAATTTCAAGTTAAAGTTAAAAAAAGCTTTAATAGAATTTATTTTTATTTTTTGACTGACAATGAGATGAGCATTTTTGAAGTTATAATCAATATTCTGTCACTTATGGTTAGGTAACCTCAATATATTATTGGATCCTCCACACTACCCGCCGTTGAGCAATTTAATATGCAAATTGGTGTGTCAATGAGGAGAGTTGCGCCTGCTCGCGCCTTGAATTATGCATCCGCGAGTTCTGTCTGTCAATCAAGAGACTGTCCAAAGAACCCTTCGTCTCCGCCCGGCCACTTTTTCTTTGCCCTTGTTTGCACTGCGCTCGGCTTCGAAGCGCGGTTGTGTGTGTATTTTCCATCTGCCGCTATTCAAATAGAGTGCCGGCCCAAGAGTTGAGCACCAATACACTCTCGCATTGAGTTGCAGCACCTGCTATCTTGTTTGCATCGCCAATTTGCACCCACGGACGACGCACTCTTAAATACTGCACCCCTAGCAAGCATTTTTATCTAGATATATATTTATTTGGCTGGATCAGACTGGAATCGCGTGGAAAATGCACATCTGTTTTGGACACCTGAGAATAGTACTTATCATTCCGCTTTACTATTGCCCCCCTCATTTCCTATAAATGTGCAAATGCAACTGATAATGATAATGCAATCGTCCAATTAAGTCCGATTCTCTGGGGCTTAAAAATAAATAATTAATAAACTTACGGGGGGAAAATATATTGCGTGACTTAAACGGCCATTGCTTTTAATTTTTTGGAAGAAAGTTATGAAGTGTTTTGATATTACATATTCTAACATTTTAGTCAGATTAATTTAATAGCGCAATGAAGTCTAAATCAGCTGCAGTACTTGTTTTTAATAAAAAAAATTCCCGTTTTCCCCTTATTATTAACTTTTTATTTCATTAAGAATATGATAATTTATCTAATTTTATATTAGAAAGTCATATTGTTCATTTTTAGTAAAATCTTTACTGGGCAGGTGCAGATATTCTCAGAGAGAATGGATTTGAATCTCAGTTGAACAATGATGTGCAATTAAGCGGGGACATATAAGATTTATCAGAAAAAACTGGGAAAATCCTAAAAGAACTGTTATTCTGTTAAAACGACATGAGACCGAAAAATTAAATATAAAAATGGGAATGTTTAAATTTAAGCCGGTCACATTTGGATGGGTTTCATTAAACGCTAAGAGTCTAATATTTAAGAAAATATGGTGAATACGATGAGGTTGCTCTAAAAATCAATAAAGCAGAAGTAAAAAGTCGAAATGTCCTCTCGTAAAGCCGTCTTGGTCAGTTGAGAATTTATTTCAATGCAGAGGTTGGCACCCTCGTCGCACGCAAAGGGTAATTCGAAAAAGGAGCAAAAAGTTGGAGTGAGGTTTTAATGCAATTAATGAGGCTGTATCATATTGTAAATGAAGTTAAAATTAGCAGACTGAGTGGCGTTGAAAATAAAATTTGGAACACAATTTTCCTAGATCTCGGTTTGGTATTTAACTTTATTCGTTTGCCCCTTGTCAATAAAATAAACATTTTAATTTTCTACGATTGTTACCACTTTTAAACGGACACGCGTGCTTCCTCTCAACGGTGTATCCGGACTAACGTCAACTAACCCTTAATTTATGATTTCTCTCAAGCACCTTTTCACCCTCTTTGATCTAGCTCCCCTCTTTTAATCGGCACACACCGTAGCAATGGACTTCTGAAGTGCTCAAAATTGGATCACTTCCGGCAGATGAAATTGATTGAGCAGTTTTATATTTAGATATTAATGCAAGTATATATGCAAAGGAAAGAAAGACAATGGTGAAGTAATTCTTAGTAAAAGTCAGCAAGTTAAATGTCGCGTGGTGCGCTGTTTGTATATATGGTTGAGCACGCATGTTAGGATTTTCTAGAAACACGTTGCAATTTGGTCAGTTTCATTTATTCCAGAAAAAAACTGATTTTTATCTTTCTCTAAACCTATTAAAAAGATTATTATAATAAAATTTTGACCAAGTTTGAAAATAATTGTTTTTCAGGCATTTTGAGTGAAAAGTTTACAATTGTCATCCAGGACAATCTAGGATTGAAGGAAGAAAAATCTTATTCTAGAGCTTGGCCTGATTAAGTGTGACTTGGAATTATACGAAACCAAAAAAGAATGGCAAATAGTTTTCATTTGAAATTTTTAAGCCTGTCTCATTAGTCCTTGAAAATTTCTTCCCATTCTGTGATATTTAAGATTTTAAGTGAATCTGAATAAAAGTAAACAATATTTTGTCGAACTTTAAGTATGGGCAAAATTGAGGCCAAACAGGCGCTATTGAACGAAGGCTAGAGTTCAGCACTTGAGTGGGGCTGTTCGGGACAGATTGGGTCATGTTGGGGCAAAATGAATATTTGCAGGTACTGACCTTGTTGGGTGGCGTCAGGAAGGGTCTCCTGGTGGGCCAGGGCAGCGGTCAGGGTGATGTACTTCATGATCTCAGGTGGCTTCGCTGCATACTTGGACGGCAAAGTCTTGAAGCACTGCCTTGTGTGTGGTGTGCGAGTGTTCGTGACTGTGCCAGGTAAATCGATGCACGGAGGGGTCCTATAAAATATACATAAATCCCCCTCGCCGCCGGCCACAATTGTTCGTTCCCCTGCGCGCCTATTGTAGCACCTGCCCGCGGGGAAAAGTGAAAATGCGCTTTTTCACGTTGCGCAACCGGCCATTCACGAGCGACCCTCGCACGACGCACTCCCGGAAAAGCCACCCCCTCGCAATGCTAATGACGCGATTTGGTGAAAATGGCATGAAATATGTATGCATCTGCGCCGAAAAGGAAGCAGTCCAAACCGTCGTTACCCTTTGTGTATCTGCGGCATAAATTCGCGCTTATAAAAGCCACTTCCTAAAACGCTTATTTTATTTTTTATTTTATGGAGGCTAAATATTAACATTTATTTCTCAAAAATCTAATCTCACAAATTGAAAAGTTAACAACTGTCTCCGAAATTTTCTAGAAATATCCAAGCAAACAATTTAAATAGGGGAAATTTTGATTTCGTAAGTCAATGATACGTTCAAAATGAATGGATTATTTTCTTTTGCTTTACAATAGTCGCATAAATAAGCGTCAGGGAGGTAATTTTAAAATCTTCAAATTCAAAATGAAAATGAGAAATATTTCATTTCTAAATAAATTAATGATTCAATAAGAATAAACTGAAAATTAAAATAAGTGAATTTTAACAATTTATTCGTATTTCACAGCATTTCATTAGTTCATCTTACAGATACGGCTAGACGTGGAAAATTTACCTTTCCCAACCAAAGTGGATCAATTTTTACTTGATTTTTTTTTCTCATCGGCGATGAGATTGCTGTTAGAAGGAATCAGAACGGGGCGCACGAAACGATCATTTTTATTGCAGCCCCGAGAGATTTTGGAGAACGCGATGTGTCCAGCAGATTCTCGGAAAGGGAAAGACCGTGGCCATATGTACACGTGCATGTGCACCGCCACTGGCCAACGCTTATCTCCTGTTGGGATCTCCGTGCTCTAGCTATATCGCGCGCCATGTATTTTTAGTCGGCGCAATTTCGATGCTATCGCAACTGGGAAATCAACCCCGAGCTAGGGGTGCGTTGTTCCCACACACATACAAACGCGATTTATTAGCACTATACTCGCGCACTCAGTCAGTTCAACAGCCCATGGTCGGATTGCACTGTTCAATAGATAATGAAATGAGGCCTAAACTGGAATATTTATTTTTATTTGCAGGGGTCGTCAGATAATTGGAGCAATAATTCTCTATGCTACGACGCATTTATTTTTTTGAACTTTCCTTTGGCCTTATAACCTCTGGTCCACTTTCTACCTTTTACAAAACTTTTTTTAATAGGTTTTATTTAGATACAGATTTTTCTGAATAAACAAATATTTTATTGAGTATTGCGTTTCAATTCTTTGCTCTTTTAGCAAAACGAATGTTGAAATTTGATTCAGCAAAACAAAAATTCTTAAATATATAGACAAGATTATTCCATTTGTCTGGCCAGTTCAAACAACTTACATTTTACATTGCCTTACATTTTGGCCGTGATTTTATGTAAGCTTATTAAATTATTATTTTTATAATTCCATAAATTATTTTTTCCCATGGCACTTTTAACGGGTTTTTTATCGGTTTTTTATAAACATTATCAATTAGCTAACATGGAATAACTAATGTGGTTCACAGTGTTTTTTTCAGCAAAAATTATTCTTACTATCAAAAGTTTCACTATAAACTTTATCTCGTTATGGGCAGAGACAGCCTTGAGAAGACTTCATTCTGCAATGTTAAATAGCTGCATAAAAACGCTCTGAAAATATTTTTTATCACAATTGCATAACTAATCTATCTGAATAAAATTTATATTTATTTGAAATCACTGAATAGGTGCCAATAATGATTTAAAAAAAAAATATATATCAATTATTGACATAACATTTAAAAATGAGAAACAAGAAAAAAATCGCATTCCCTCTATTCAGAAGCAACGTTTGTCGGGAAAGAAAATATCAGCCCAAGTGGAACTGACTGCGTAATTAGTCCAATAATCTCTAACCATTTGAACCCCTTTTTCTGCTATCATGATTGTTGCTGTATTAATATTAGCACCAACAATAGTTGGCATGACGGAAGCGTCAATGACTCGTAGTCCTCGAATGCCATGAACTCTGAAAATTTTAAGAGTTTTTATGGAGGATTCTGGTATTATGAAGCTGCATGAAAACATCATGATTGCAATATGGGATAGTGATGAAACATAAATATTAAATTTGCCAATTTCAATACAAATAATACATTCTAAAAATGAAACCTATGCATGCTTGGTCAAGTGTTTTATATAATAAATGCAAGCAATAAAAGGTGATCTACTCTACCTTAATTTTGAGTCAACAACCGCGGCCGAATCACTGGACGGTCCCATTTTGCAAGTGCCGCAAGGGTGATACACTGTCCCAGACAAATGCCTCACATAGCATTCCCAATACGGGTCTGATCCAAATTTGAAATGCTCACATCCAGGTAAGGGCATTTCGTTGAAAAGAGCACCATTAGATTCAAAAGGCTCCGACGTGATCAGCTTGTGCAAAAAATGCATTCCTTTAAAATTAAACAATTATTAGCATTTTAAAAATGGATTATTTTTGTAACATTTTCACCTCGAACTAGGGTTTCTATGTCCTCTTTGTGGGTTAAGTATTGTGGGTCAATCAGAGGAGCGTCATTAGGATTTGCCGACTTTAGACGAATAAGGCCTCTACTTTTTGGTCGCAATAAAACAGCAAAAATGCTAGCTACCGTTTTCTCTTCATAGATAGAAAAATATTCTTCCCAAATCTGCAAAAGTTATAAAACAATAATTATTTTGTAAAATTAGGAAGCCTTGTAGTTTTACATACCTTATCAGTGACTCCTGTCATGCCTTTTATCACTTTTCCAGCTTCAAAGCTGTGCCCAGTTGGAAAAAAGAGCAGCTGAATGTCAGGCGGATTGGTCGTTCGATTTATAATATCAGAGGAATAAACCAAAGCGTACGCCTCACAGCCGTTGGAGGATATTGGACCTTTAAAGAGATTAAATTTAAAAATGTTCAAAAAATGCTTCACATTGTACCTGTCTTTGAAGAGAAGTACTGCCAAATTGAGCTTGGGGAGAGCATATCACGGAGTGTCAAACCCATACCAGAAGACTTTCCCTCCAAAATTACATTATTGGCACCTGTGGTGAGGTGGTCCTGTAGGTTGGAACCAACTCCTGCCAAGTCTCGCACCACGTTTATCTGTCAGATGAAAAGAGCTGCAAGTCTGGTGGGAAATTGGAGCAAAATAAATTACTTTCATATGCTGCAAGTGCTCATCTGGACCTATTCCAGAAAGCATGAGCAGCTGTGGTGAATTGATGGCTCCGGCGCTGAGAATTACTTCCTTGGCAGCAAATGCAAATTTTCTTTGGCCCAGAACATTGAATTGAACTCCAAACGCTTTAGAATTTTTCAGCAAAATCTGTAAAACTTAATTTCAGAAGAGAAAATAAATTTAAAACTTTGCACCTTTTCTACAAGAGCGTAAGTGAGGACTTTCAGATTGGTCGAATGTTTTGCCAAGAAAGCTGTGTCTGTGCTTAGCCTTTGACCTTTCAAGCCATGTACTTGAGTAATACTGAAGCCTAAAAATACAATTTTTAAAAATTAGAAACAAAGCATGTATCACTAAAATAAACCTTCAGTCAGCTCTGCATTTAAATCACCAGTTGAGTATCCTAGAGCTTTACCACCTTCCAAAAATATGTTCACCAAATCTGAAGTCCACTTTAGAAACTCTATGTGGAAAGGACCATTGCTACCTCTGAAACCTGAAAATAAAATATTATTTTTTTTTTAAATTGTTAAGAAAAAATGCATACTATTTTTCGATTTTTTAAAGGTTTCAGACTTTCGAAAATAAGGCAAAATTTCATCATAGCTCCAGCCTAGATTTCCTTGATCAGACCAAGAGTCGAAGTCTTTCGGATCACCTCGGACGTACATCATGAAATTCAATCTACTGCAACCGCCCAAAATTTTTCCTCGAGGCCATATACTTGCCTGTAAATAAAAAGAGATAAAATTATATATTACGTCATAGAACAATTTAAGTTTAAAAAAATTTACTCTATTCTCAAGAGCCAAGCAGGAGCTGTTTTGAGGCTCAGTCACATATTGCCAGTCGTAATCAGTCTTCTGTAATAAGGGAGCAACACTGGGCGTGTTGAAAACATCCCTTGGAGGTCCACCGGCCTCCAGCAACAGAACCGAGTGACCTTTGTCCTCAGCCAATCTAGCGGCAACAACAGCACCAGCCGATCCTCCTCCAACTATAAAGAATTGAAATATGTAAAAATAACAGCGATTATAATACAACGAAAATTACATACCAACAATAAAGTCGAAAAACAAAATATCATCCACTGGCTGGAGGAAAAGTTGGTCGCTCCAGTTGGAAAAGCGGCAGTAAAGCCGGAAAATAAGGGCTGCACTTCCATAGAGGAAGACCAGAATTCGAAAGGGCACGAAGTTCATGGCTGACAGAGGGTTTGATAAAAGTTTAAAAGCTGCCTATGCTCAGTCTTATTATGCCGAGAGCAGCTCCCACAGGAAAAGTACATGTAATCTGATACCGGCTCAATTTTATTTTTTTCTCTGCTGCTCGCCAATATGTAATACATGGCCGGTGGTTATGAAGGTGTGGTCTTGCAAATTTTTAAAGCCTTATAACGATCTCAAGTGGTTGAAAAAAATTAGAAAAGGCAAGCGTTCGTCGCGGCGAGTCCGTCCGTCAGTTGTCAGTTCTCTGTCACGTGGGATTGGAATGAAAACAAAGACACGCCCCCTTTGTTGGAGAAACGAGAGAAACGTCAGGACGTTTTGCTCAAGGCAAATTTGAGAAAAAGTGGACGATAGGAACAGATTTTTGGAGTTTGTTACAGAGTTTGCTTCGAAATGGATTGAAGATTTTGAAAATTAAGGATAATTGGCAAGTATGTGTATTTTAATGTTTTATGCATTTAAAAAAAAATATATATATATATTGAAATCAAGACTAGGTTGATTTGCATTTTAAATTTTTGCACCAGAAATTTAGCAAAAATAACTTCCCGATGTCATCAAGGCATATTTATTGCTTAGGATATTCTGTTTATGAATAATCATGACACGTGAAACATAGAATTTGCGCACCAAAATTTGCACATTTCTTCCGAGTTGCAAAATCTGCGTTTTGCAAATCCAGCATATTTTACGCAGCGTAAATATAATTTAAAATGATACCTTTTTATCACATTATTTATTACATTTTTCCCTGTTTTATGCTCCAATTATCTTGAATTTGGCAACTTCTCTTGTAGCATTTGGACTGGAGTTGCTTCTCAAAAAGTAGTCAAGGTCGCGTGAGAATCGTCAGCAGTTTAAGTTCCAAGGAAAGGCCACTAGTCCAGATGAGTCCAGATCTCAGTAAAAATAATAGACAATTCTTAGACCTTGAGTGCAAATGGGCTGTTTATTTCCTCAACCGCTAGGTTTTAACGTTGTAATGAAAGAAGTGAAAAAGTTACATAAGGATGATTTTTTTTAAATTAAAACATTCATTATTTCCATTTCAAATTCATAAAAAATTCAAAGCTGCTTTACAGTGCGTTTAATTTAATTTTATCATATTATTTTGACGTATACGTGCCACATACATGCCACATTCTCTGGTCTCCTGTTACTATTATTATTTTTTTCTAAATTTTATATAAAATAGGGCAGCAGTTGCCTTTGTGATAGATCAATGAACACAATTCGCAACTAAAATTAGATTGATTTGCTTATTCGTTGGATAAAAAAAACACGCAAACTTCTGCTTGTAAACTTATTCTTAAAAAATATATAAAAATATAAATAACTTATTCTTTAAATTAAATTAAATATTAATTTATTGCTAACCATAACTTTTTTTTAAATAAAAGGCTCTTTAAAATGTCAATTTTTTATATAAAAAAATCCAGAACATTTTTCTGACGAAAAAAGCTCTGAATTATGAGGTATGCGCGAGTATTTGTTGCGATTAGTCATGCGATGAGATTGCAGATCTGGAGATTGGTCTCCGCTTTTATAGGCTGGAGGGGCCCGAGTGCGCCGAGTTGGCTGTGAGCCATTTGCTGCGTGTCCGCGTCTCTCCCCATCCGCGAGACTTGCTGTCCGGCGGCATAATATCCGTCTCTCACTCGCGCTGATCGTGTGCAATTGTCCACTCGCCGGCAGACCGTTTACTTATAAAAAGCAGGCTCTGCTGTGGGAGAAAGCGATTTGATTGTCTTTGGGGCCCCAGACCTGCCTCAAGCGCTGAAAAGTGCCACCGTGAGAATTGCAAGTATTTTATTATCAAAGGTCAACTCAATGGTCTCAATGTAATTTTGATAGAATTATTTTTGTTTTCATTGATCTTTTCAAGGAAATTGAAAATTTGTTGTTCGGTTGTTACGTCACCTCAATTTTTTTAAGTTATTGTTCTAATAATTAATTTGTTTCAGTTTTTTGCTCTTTTAAATTATTTATTACAGTTTTAGGTTAGGCTAAAATTGTAAGCTTTTTGTTACAGTTAAAAATAATAATAATTTGCTGCTATTTAATTTTACCAAAAATTAGCTTTGTCATGCTGATAAATCATATTTCTTAAAATACAAAATAAGATGATAAAAATTAAAAACGGGAAATTGCAATAAGTTATTTTCCTAATTGCTGAACTCGTTTGAAATTTGCAAATGCTCAATTAGTTCGCACACCTCTATTTGGCAGCTGTTTCAGTCTAGGGGCGGAAAAGCCTTGGACGCTTTTTGGCTGTCCTAGAAACACAGAAAGGCAGTAATTTGCAACTTTGACGTCTCAAATTGAGCCGACACAAGTTGTTTTTACGCATCTGGCTTCTAACAAATCTTTTTCGAGAGTTTAACTTGGAGGCTTTTGTATTTAAAAGTCTAAGAGAGAGATAGAGCAAATAAAAAAAAGTTATCATCGAGTCTGTCTGATTCATTTAATGGCCCCAACTCACGAATTGTGTCTCGCACTTGAGTAATAGAATCAATACTAGCCGACCGAGGTATAATTTGGTTTTGAATAGGGCGTACTAGGCGCAGCCTCCGAAGCTGTGCGATATTTGAATATATCCACGAACATTCCAAGTTGCGAGTGTGTCAAGCATTTGTATTTATTGCTAGTGTTAGTGGCAGTCCAGCAGAGCGAGAGGGAGCAGTGCCCCGGCAGCGCAGTATTATTTTTAATTTAGTTTTCATGTCCGCATTTAGCAGCCCAAGATCGACTGCCACTTGTCTGCAGCACGGCCAAAGTCGCTTCTCATTATTTATACACTCGTAATTAGCAGGCTTTGGTGGAATGTTACGGCTTTCAATTTACTCACTTCTATATAGTTCACTTCCTCTCACTCAAGTACAAACAAACCACTGCGAACTCCTTACTTTACTGAACTATTGATTTAAAGATATTTAAATAAACATTCGAGCTATATGCACTTAAATGTTAAGTTACAAAATTAGAAACAAGTTGTTGATAATTTTACTGGCTGGAATTTCAAACATTTCATCAGAAAAAAAACAAATCATTGAAAATCTAAAGAAAAAATAATAAAAAATTATTTTGAAATATTTTATGATAAATCTAATTGACTGAAGTATCAAGTTCATAATAATGAGATTTTGTAACTATTTATAATCCCTCTCAGGTTATATTAAATTTTAACTAAACTTTATATAATAAATTAATATACTTTATTATTGTTTCAGGAGAAAAGAGACTTTAAAGACTTGCAAATCCCAGCCGTAATAAGCAGAGATGGCCGATATGGACAGTATTGGAGTCATCGTCGAATTGCACGTCTATGATTTGACAAAGGGTCTTGCCGCCTCCCTATCCCAAATGCTTTTGGGTAAGTTATGGAAGAATTTTTGGAAATTTTTATTTCCTTCATATTTTAAACAGGGAAGCACTTGGAGGGTGTTTGGCACACTGCAGTCGTTGCCTATGGCCGAGAATACTTTTTCGGCGCTGGAGGAATCCAGAGCGTCCGACCTGTAAGTAATTCTTCAATCGATTTTATAATTTGTTTCTTAAGATCATTTTTGCGTCGTATTATTTTCCATATTCTTTTGTTGCTTAAATCATCCTTGGTTTGTAATTGTGGGAAAATATTGCAATGGACAAGGTAAGGTATTTACAGCAGAATTTGAATAAAATCGCACTCGGTGCAGGAACTAGGCTACCTGCATGACTCGCACGTCATGCCGTTTGCATAAGTCAGTTTCAACGGGCTCCATTTGCATTTCACGGATTTGACCTTTAATGCAGAGCTTTACTTTGATATGCGCTTATTCAAATGAGACTATCAAAGGAATGAAGTCCATTATTCATTTTTATTTCAAGAGGATATCAAAGCTCCGTAATTTAATCCATTATTTGAAATATTAATTTTCTTATATTATACTCATTGCTCACCTTGCTCTAAACCATACTGGATAAAAAGTATGACAAATATTTGAAGCAGAGAGTGCATTTAGATTGTTATGTTATCTAATAAGTTACGTTCATCACTAAAAAAGGAATTAAAATAACAATTTTTCTTTATTTAGTTACTAATTATATTTTTTATTTTATTGAATTATTTTGGGCCACAAGATCACAAATTATGTTTTAACAAATATCCTTTTCGTGTTTTTTTTTAAACATACCGCAAACCAATTAAAACTTCTCCTTAATTTTGTCAAGCCTACACTTTCCAAATTGGCTGTCTTCGTTCTCTAAACGAAAAGGTTTTACTGTCACTCAACCTTCGCAATGTTTATTTTTTGGGGCGGATGTAATGAAGAGGTGCTGAAAGGCAGGTCCCATATGGGAATTTTGATGTCCATTTTGACGTCAATTTCACAATTTGGTAGAACTTTTAATTCAAAATTTTTATTGAAAGCAAAAAAAGTCATTCAGCAAGATGCTTTTTTTGCATGGTTGTGTTTCAGTTTTATGCCGCATTCAAAGTGAAAAATTAAAGGTTTAATTGACTGGCAACAGAGAGCTCTGAAATCTTCTTGGTGGCGGGCGTGCCGTTTTTCGTTCAACGTTGGTCCAGAAATACACTTCTTGTAAAGAACGGCACACTTGAGAGTCAGCCGTAAAAAGACGAGCAATCCAAACCGAAAAATTCAAAGCTTGAAAGCACGCTTGCTCATTGACTCGCAGAACCTGCAGTTGTCATATTTATTATTAGAAAAATTTATTTTCATTTTTCAAGAAGGAGCAAATCTATAAGGGGAATATGCAGCTGAAGAAAGCGACTTTTAATTGCATTGTTGCAATTAATTAATTAGTGAGGTGATAGGCCAGAGCATGCGGCGATAGAAAGAAGAAAGTCGGAGAGTGATAGAATAAAGGCGTGGGGTGTGTGATGTTTCGGGGGGTCGGTCTCCTCTCGTAGGTCTAAATTTGACCGGCGTCTAAGTTTAGCTTGGCGAGAACAAGGCACGGGTCTCTCGCCGGCTCGTCGTCGCTCACTCTCCGCTGCGTCCAGCGATCCTAGGTAAAATCACTTTTGCCGGTTGGTCGACCCTGATAACCCTTTGGAGCGTCGCCGACTTGTGTTTTTGCATCTTGAAAGGAGAGATTGAATGTAACTTGCAAACTCTTCTTTGCCCGTCTTTTAAAAAGCGCAGCTCTTGGGTCATGTGCACCGTGTTTTCTGCATTTCCGTGAAACGAGTGAAATGATGCAGCGTTTTCGAGGGCGGTAACCGACGGCTGCATTCGTTCCTTTTGCACAAGGCGCGCCGAGTTTAGTTCATCTTTCACTGTGAATGGTGGTCTAACGAGAAACGACGATTTGCTTGGTTTTTCAGTGCAGCACGGTGCTTGGCGAGCCCGATAGGGTAGTCAACCTAGGGGACACGTTCATCCCGTACCAAGTGTTTCTGGACTACGTGCTCGGCTTGGGCGAAAGCACCTTCAGGTAAAATCAACCTTTTGAGGCTATCAAAAATCCAGTAAAACTTCTAAATTGATTAGTATAACTAGTGACTGAATTTTAGTTTGGGCATATTTTTGAATTTAAATTACTAACCTATTGAATTTTGAAAACTTTATATTGTTAGTTAACTAATTTATTTTCCTTTTCAAAGCTTGATGATTATACTAAAATAATAATAACTGATTGTAAGAATCAGGTGAATGTTTTAATACAGCATTTATTTGCTTTATTGGCGTGCTATTATGATTTCTTTTACCAGTAGTTCCAAAGTTTTGACTCAACTGTCTCTTTGGAGGCGGTATTAATGCGCTGGAATTAATGAGCTTGGCACTTAGCCAAGATAGCAGCCTTTTAAATACTTTACGCAGTAAAATATTCTAAATATTCATCTAGACGTTTCAGTTAGGTCCATTGAGTATTGAAAATTTTTAATTTATAAATAGAGATCTCCCACTATTTTTTTACATCATTTTTGCTAAACATTTCAAAGAGGATTTAACAATTGTTTTCTTAATTTTTAAATTTAGGGCGGACAATTACGACTTGTTCCGGCACAACTGCAATACATTCTCGAACGAGGTGAGCCAGTTTCTCTGTGGAGCCGACATACCCAAGTATATCATCGACCTACCCCAAGAAATTCTGAGCACGTGAGTACTCGGCATAATTATTTAATCATAATTTGTTCAATTTGACTTGAACTTCATCAATGTTAACCTAAAGTGATGGTTTATCTCATAAAAGTGTTGCTCATGATTTACCTTGGTTAGTTCTAATTGATCAAAAGACCTCAGTCAGCCGCGCCGGCCAAGTATTTTTGGATCAAATTGTAAGCCGTTGTTATAAAAGTATGCAACCGCCAATACAGACGCGGCAAGCAGGCTGCCTATTTTCACAAGATGCAGGCGCGCGCTGTGCAGTTTTGCCGATTGGTGTAGTGATGCAGAATAAAAACAGTGCCAAGAATTTCTAAAGCATAAAGATGTGAAAAATGGAAACTATTGCATTTAACTAAAAACCAACACTTGAGTACCTTTTTTTTAGTACGACGTAGAAATTTTATAATTATTAACTAATATTGTAACATTTAAATCTGCAAACTTTACCTGTGATGATAAAAAAAAATATACTAAAATATTGATAGAAAAAAACTTATTTTTAATTAACAGACCGATTGGAGCTGCGATCCAGCCACTTCTTGACAGTTTAGGCGGCGTCTCTCGTTCAAGAGGAAGCGTTGTACCAACATCAGATTTGGGCATTCTCAGCTTCTTAACACCCCCGGCACTGCAGGCATTGTCCAGGGAACAAATCCCGGAGTCTTCACAAGAAATCCATCTCAACACTGAGCAGCTCTGGTAAATATTTTTTAAACTATCTGAATCCAATTAAATTTGGCTTTTTGTTAGTCGAACCAGTCGGGTGTCATTCATTGAACCCAATAACGAGGAGCAGAGCCACCAGAAGGAAAAGAAGAAGAAGCGCACAAAGAACAAAAGGAAATCGTCACGCAGCAGCATGGCAGACAGTGAAACGACCTCTCAAAATGGCTCGGACGAAGTGATCGCCCCTGTCGTCTCCGAGAAACCAGGCAGAAACGCAGAAAAATCTGTGGCCGAGTTTGAAGAACAAGAGAGGCAGGAGGCTGAGGAGAAAAAGAAGCAACGAGAACCACCAATCATCTATAAAGACTTGGTTGATGTGCGTCACAAACTCAATTTTATTAGCAAGTTTAAGTGAACCATAAAATATATTTTACAGTTGCAATCTGAATTTGATGGCCTGGTTGATTTGATCGCTGGAATTCTCACTCCGGAGGAACAGCAGTCCATGGAGGAGCTCCACCAATACATGCTCGAGGACGAAGGCTCCTGGGCTTTGGGAGACAGTTTCTTGAGCTTCGTTGGTAAAAATATTTTATTTGATACAAAGATCAATAATTAATTATTTCATACGTACATTTACAGGTCGAATTCTTCACGACAAGTCTCAGAAATCAGAGGCCAGAGTAAAACTGCTCAATGTCTTGGCTGTGGCCGCGCTCAAAGATGACGTCATTCTGATGCTCCACCAAGACAGGCGAGAACACATCTTGATGAATTTTGCTCAGGACATCGACAGGATTCCCCTAGAAGAGCAACTTGCTCTTACACTTTTCGTAAATAATTTTCTTATCTTAATTAATTTAAAATACAAATACAAATATTTATTTTTAGTTTGCAAATTTGTTTGAGAATTTGAGCAGCTCCGAGTGGCTCCTGTACATATCTGAGTGGCAATACTGCAACAACACTTTGAGCAACATCAGGGTCACCACCAAGGTGGCGGTCAACTCGCTCCTCTCGGACAACACCACCCTTCAGGACAGGGGCTCCGCCATCCTCCACAACCTGGCCTGCAAGGAGGTAAAATCAGTGGTCGGTATTCCTGCAGCCCACCCATCTCTCTCTTTTTCGTGAACCCTTTTTGCTGGCTAATAGACACAAATTTTTTTGGCTGCTTGTCCTAATATGTCCTCGGTCACTCGTCACTCATCGGGCAGTGGTGTTCTTTGTTTGCAGAAAATGACCAAAGGGCAAAACCTGCGCAAGATTCTGCCTCCAGGCAGCGTATCAAAGGTAGCAGGCAGGCATTTTAAGTGTTGTTGGACGTACACATTTCACGTTTCAACTTACTTTAATAAAACTCCTTGGCTGCCTGTTACTTTTTAAAGTCGTTAACACAAGAAATTTTTAATATAAATTAATATTATACAGCCAGATTTGTCTAAATGTGTTGTATTTTGTGATGCGCTTACCTCTTGTATTTCCTCACAAAAACTAAAATGCATAAAACTCAAAATTATTGAAAAATTGCTGATTTTTCAGCTCATTCTGAATTTGAGTTTTTTGCAAACTGCCTAAATAATCCTTTCCGCCTCTCAATACAAAAATAATATCATAATCTTCACAAGACTTTATTATATTTGGAAATAATCAACCAATTAATGAAATTTACACATTACTTTATATCTGTAAGGCCATATGTATATCAAAATATTCTCAACAGGTGTTTGATGATGTGGCTGTGGAGCTGACAATGGCGGTTCTGCAGTACTTCAACAGCAAACCTCCCGAGGAAAACCTGTACAGGTGCATGAAGGCTCTGCATCGCTTCTGTCTGATCTCTGCTCAAGATGTGCCCCAGTTGGTGCAGATGATTGGACCCGAGCCGAACACATTCAAGGGCACCTCTGAACGTGTCGACAATCTGATTAGCGAGATTAACAAGAAGCTGCGCTGAGAGGGCACTTAACCCCATATTGATGTGTATGAATGTAAGAAGCACTTGAAACTACTGCTAGCATAGCTTTTATTTTATAACCTGCCAAGGGATTAACAATTTTTTGTATATTAAACGGGAGTGGTTTTCTTAATTTATTTCGTACTTCATCGCAACAATCTGGGAGTCGTTGTTTTGTTATGCAATTTTTCAAAAATCTATTATTTGTTAATCTGGTGGAAAATTTGGGACAAAAATCTGAGAGTGGAAATAACAAAGATTCTTTTTGTATATGATTATATCCAAATAAAAGCACTTTCTGTTCATTTTTCAATATTTTTCTATTTATTTGCATTTCATTTAATAATAGCAGCTACAAGGAAGACTGATAACTAAAATTATCAGATCAGATAATTTAATTTTCCGCATCTGCATTGATAAATAATCTCTGTCTCTAGAGCAGACTAGAGGAAGATTTAGTAGCTAGCAGTGTTAGTTTGGAAAATTGCAGCAGGTGCCTGCTCTACTCTATCATGTTGTTAAAAGATAATATACTCGTTCAAAATTTTTTCAAAATGATTTCAGACAATTTAAAAAATTTGATCTTGTTATCTTATTCTAACTGAGTTTCAAGTTTTTGGTTCAACAATTAGAAAAAATGTATTAAAATAAATAATCAAATTTTCATCATATTACATTATTTAGATTAATCATTGATTCAGGTGTGTAGATGTGAATAAAACAAACTTTTTAAAACAGAAATTTTATCCGATTTTTACAGCACATTATAGTAATTTTTATTCTTTAAAATACATGGCTATGACTACAAGGAAGGGCGCGTAAAAAATTAATGCTAAACTGTTGGATCTTGGAAAAGTTGATGGGAAAAGCAGAAAAATGTGTTTGGCGTTAGATAACAATTTTATTAAAATGAGTGCGATTTAAGGTTTTTTGTTATAGTAAAATATTTTACTTCGACTCTGACATTTGCACTTAAATTGTATCTCCATTCTCCGCCTCGATAGTTATTTAAATTCTAAATTTTTATTAAAACAATTCAAAGAGGCTTATTCGATGAGAACACTGCATTATAACCGTGCAAATCGCCTCGGTGACGTGCTTAAAAAATAAAAACGCTATCGAATCATTTATTCATCATGTGATTCACTCAAAAAAATGGAATAGCATTGGATTCAGAGAGATATGATAATCTTTATTTAAATTGTTTTGTCCTCGCGGTGTTTTGGTCCATTCAGTAAGCACATTGAAGCCCATTGGCTAGATGCTGTAATTTATAATAATTCATGTGCTCTCATTTTTTCCTTTCAAGAAGGTAATAAATATGGGGGATTTGATCATGACAAAGATTTGACAGGCTAGAGCCAACAATATATGCAAAAATTAATATAAATAAAAAACTTGGGCTCAAAGTTTTCAAATTATCCTCCGATAATTTAGATTAAATAAATATCTTTTTGAGATAATGCAGAGTAAGTAAAAATTAAAAATATGATGAGATATATATCTATTACCCTCAAATTTGCATAGCTTCTTATTTGATTGTTAACCTCAAAATTTTGATTGAAAATTGGTATAAGATCTTTTGATATTTTTGTAGGTTATAAAAATTTCTGGGGAATTTTTAAATGCAAAATCTTTACATTTCATGGTAAAACTTTTCAAATCTTAAATTCAAAGAAATAAATTAATCGCTTTAAATGTTTTATCCTTCCTGCAGACGACTGGCTATTTTACAGATCATTATTTAAGGCGCAAAAGCATGTCTGCCGAATTATGCTGTTTTGTATGGCTATTTATGCAATTAAAAAAATTCGGAAATTTCTACTTGAACACTACAGAGATAGTTAAAGAAAATTAAGTCCGAAGATTTTAATTATTCAAATATTATTGAGGAGAAAAAAGAATAGAAGCAGCTGCGGATGCCGTCGCAAAGTTATCAGGTCAAGGTTATGCCCAAACTCAAATTGCGGTACGATGCGCTCATTTCGTGTTTAAATTCCAAGAGAATTGATTTGGTCCCAACTTATTGATTTAAGCTCAATTATAGGAGAGTTGCGTTCAAGGGTAGGCGTCGTGCTTGTTGTTCTGGGCACTCCGTCAATGAAATTTTGAATTATTCTGATTTTTTATTAGTTTTTAGTATTAGCATATTTATTAAATAAAATTTTTTAATGCAGATTTAAATTTACCGCGTATTATATGAGTTTTTTTTAGAAGTGCATAGAAAGAGTATTTTGGAATTTGTCAGTGCCAAGCAATATTGTTTTTTATTTGTGATTATTCGCAATGCTATTGAAGTTACAGATTTAATTTTTAATAAAATTTCTTTAAAGTAAAAATGGGAAACAAAAAATTTTAAGTTGATTCTGCTTTGATCAAATTGAGGCTAATTTTGTAAAGATATTTTCTGTACTCTGGGATTGTCACGGGAACTTTTGATTAGGACAGGTGATAAGATTTTCTGGCATTAAGAAGCTACAGCAAGTTTCATACTCATTTTTGAACACTATATCTTGACTTAATCTAAATTTATAATTCCTTAAGCAACTCCATTCCTCAGTGCAATAACAAATTTTAATGTTTAGAATCAAAAATATGCATCCAAAATTTCTTAGGAGTAAATAAATGCAAATAATTCAGTCATGCAATTAACTCTCTGATGTGGTGAAAATTAAAAAATTCCGGCATGAATTTCACCTAGTAGAGAGAAAATAGATATTGGTTTTGCTCAACTCCTCAGAGAAAAAAATCGATTGGCTTCAGTATTTCGGGTCCAACAAAATGATTATAACTAGACGCCTTTGACTCTCTGTATATGTACGCTTATAAACATTGATATTGGTTATAGCCAGTATTGACAATAGATTCATATTTAGTCTGCGCCTACACGGCCCTGTTAAATATATCTTAGATACGTATAAAATATAAAAGGAAAAACTTCAACTCTTTAGTTCCTTTTAAACTCTGAAAGAGCACTCCGGGCGCTGCTTAATTAAACTCTCTTCTTTAAATCTAAATGGAATTCAACCTAAATAATTATCCCAACACTTTCCGAGACACTACACCAGCATGGAGGCGTTCAACACCAGCTCTTGCCTCTTGTTGGGGCTCGAGGGCCCCGGCACAGGTTCACTACTGTCACTTATATAGTTGGGCAAAGACGCACTTGTGTTTATCGTGGGCACCATCAGATGCGTCTGGAGCTCCTGGGGATCGCCTGGAGGCGGCGACGGGGTCGGGGACAGTCTGGTGATGGGAATGGCCACGTGTTTGTTGTTGCCGTTGACCTTGGATAGGGGGTGCTTTCGCATGACGATCGTCGAAACGGTTTTTTCGTCGTCCGACGATAGCACCGCCTCGCCTTGCTGTTTCCGGCGCAGTGATTTTAATTTCCGGCGGCGATGCCTTTCCTCCGGACACAGGCAGCAACACGCCGCTGGACATGTGCAGAAGAAAACCCTGGAAGTTAAAAAAAAATTAGTAATCAGATTGACTTGAGTGAAAATCAAACTACGATTTTAATTTGAAATATTATATTGTTTTAATCTGATCAAAATAATTTTATAATAATAAGAGCAAGTTTTAACTTTTTTCTGTTTTTTAGAAATGTAGCTAAGAAATTTTTTAGCTGTTTTTATGCTTCTAAAAGTTAATTGGAAAAAAAAATAATTTACCTGAGCAGACAAAAGAAAGCGCCTGCGGTGAGCAGGCTGGGTCCTATCAACCGCAGCTCCGCAGTTTTGAAGCCCTTTTCACCAAGCCCTACAAATGAGATGACCATGCCAATGCACACGAGCCCCAGGCCGATGTAGAGAACCACATTGGCCGCCGAACTTTCAACCCCGAGGTAGTCATCGTCATCGCCACAAGATGCGTCCCGTATCTTAAAAAAATGTGTTTAATTAGTTCACAACAATGAGGTAAACGAGCGCCTGGCAAGAGAAAAATGCAACCCGCTCGTCATGCGAAATGTGCAAGTTGCATAACTTTTATAAACGGATATATTTTAACGTTCGGAAAAATCCAATAATTATATTTTTAGTGGAAAATTCGAGAAGAGTGGTACCCTTGCAAAATATATACTAGGTGAAATTTTCCTATCTTTAAACGATGCTAATTGAGGTCAGTTTGACAGTTGCGACTTTTGATTACCTGCGTGTTACAACAACCGTCGTTAAGAAGGGGAGAATGTTTTTACTAGTCTATTGTCTGAATCTGAACGAGACATCTAAATCCTCATGATTATCATGAATGACAAGCAAAATATTGATTTTTTTCAATTTACAGGAATAAAAAAATATTAGAATTGATGTTTTACTTCTCATATATATTCTCAAAGGCGTCACGTGCAGCCCTTCTCAAAAATGACAATTTAAATTGATAAATTAACGATTTTCTGTGGTGGCAAAAGTATTTCTGAAGGTTTTGAGATTGATAGCTCACCCTGTTCTTCTTGACCCATCTTCGGTGAGCTTTGGTAGCTTTGTCCCTGTGCTGGACAGCTGCTGCGTCGCTCAGAGAGAATCTTCTCTCTGTTGTGAGACTCGCAGACTTTCCCTAAAATTGAATCATGGGAAATTTAATATCACGAAATTAATATTTTATAACAAAATATATTATACGTAGATTTTGAAGAGACTTTGCTTACTTAGTATTTCATTTCAGTGAATTCGAAACAAACCTTTTTGAGTCCTTAAAGGACTTTTAAAAGAAAAACTAAAACATGAAAAATTCATAAGAGGCTACTTGAGGCAGACTTGTGTGAATTATGATAGGGAGAAGTGTATAAAAGGTGTTTAATGATGTAATACAACTTTTTTAGGGTTCCGACATAAAATTAATGGCATGGAGGAATAAGGGAATGGTTTTCCATTTTTCTTCTCACAATTGAAATTTAAATAGGTGAATGACATTGAGAGAAAGAGCGGTGAAATCTGTAACATATCACGCCATAATGCCATAAAGTAGTGTATAGTAACAACAATCGATCTCCTGCACGCTCAAAAACGTCGGCCTTGCCCAAACCGTATAAGCCAGTGGATCGCTTTATTTATCTCTAGTTTCCATACCGACGCCGACGGGTGTCCCTCTGAACGTTTTAGAGCGAGGTGCCCCAAAAAAAACCTAATAATGAGCCGAAATGAAATTCGGTCATCACATTGACAGCATCACGTGATACCAAAATCAAACAATATCAAAAGTTTCAATAATTATTTGTATAGAATTTTAATTAATAAATTCGCATTCAGGAAATGAAATAAAATTCTGAATTGTATTATACAAAATATTATGTAACTAAAATAAATGTCATCATATCCATTTAGAGTTCAGAAAGGTGGAATATTTACAATTCTCATGGAAAAAAAATCATTAATAAGAAAGTAAAAAATAAAATGGTATAGAAATAATTAATTTAAAAATAAAATAATTGTTAAACTCTACTTTCAGCCTTTTATAGAATTTCTAAAATTGAATTAATAAAAGATTTCACTTGGCACAAAAAAAAATATCAAAGAAAATAGCCGATAAATACGGATAAATAAAAAGAGGTAGTAACACCCTGTTAATTTCAAAAATTGGATTGAAACAATCGTTTCATTCCTTTCCGCTTTTTAAACTTTTTTAAACAAAAGTACCTTCGGATTGAATGGTTGGAGTGGTCTTTTAGGGTCAACCAAATCGAAAATACTCTGGGCATTGCCATTTGGCGTTCGAGAATTGATGGTGCTTCTTCCCGAAGTCGGTGTCAGAGCCGGAGTGCTGACGTTGGAGTTTCTGCTCTTGTGCGACTTGACCCTGAGCTCGGTGGTCTGCAGATCGAGCGTTTGGTTGCCATGGCTTCTCGTGAACTTGTGGTAGACGATCTTCTTGCGTCCGGTGAGGATTTGCACATTGTCCTGGAGCTTGTTGTTGAATCCCGCCTTGTCGATGCGCAGCACCTGGATCGCTGGCCCGATGATGCGCTTGAACCAAGAAGGCATCGAGCACGCATCGTCCAATCACAGAACCACATCAAGTCGGCGCCCATCACATATTACCCCGAATGGTGAAAAAATCCACTCCCAATTGACGGACGTGGAAAAATCACCTAAAGCGAAGTGACGCACTAACGAGGCAAAAAAAGTAACAAAAACGAGCAGCGATAATCCTTGTGCTGTCTAGCGCTGCGCAGACACACAACTGGCTTTGATTTATTTTGACAAAGCTGAAATCCCATTGCATGGATTATGTGTCACACCCACGGAGACTAAAAACCGGATAATTAGGTCAGAGAAAAAACTCTAAATTTTAATAAAAATTCATCCATGAGAGAGATATAATTAATTTTTTTCATATAATTTGACTGACGCACAGTTTTGGTGTCAAAGTTGTTTTGGCAAAACATGACAATTTTTCGATGAATGAACAGGGATGCCTTGGTGTTTTATTATTGCGTGGTCTGGTCGAGCACCGCTTTAATTGCTGGCGGGGGAGAAAAAAGAGTGACAATACACGAGAGCGCCGCGCATGTAGGCATATACAAAAAAAGTGATGTCGCTTCGTTGGAATACAGCGCCAGCGTGTTTCACGTTAAAGTACAGAGAGAGTGGCCTAAATTTACGGCCGTGTGTGAATGAAAGTACAGGCAGGGCTATAATGAAAGGGTTCTGTATACATCATGTGGTACCAAAATAGCCAAAATGACAAGGACCGCCGCATGTGTTTGTGCTTCGACATTTTATCGCCTTTGCAAATAAAATTTCGGCATCTTCCATTTATTACACAGAGATATGATTTTTGGTGTTTTTGTAATTAATATTTTTGTTTTGAGAATAGTGAAACATTATTGGAAAGAAAAGTATGTTCATGTAAGAAAATGCAAGGGTAGTTTCATTAGAATCCATTTTTCAATCAAATTTAAAAAAAATAGCATAAAGCAACTTTTCCGGAGGAATAATTGTGATTGTCAGAAATGTAGTCCTAATATTATGGAATTGCAACGGTGCTTGAAAATTCAATTTCATAATATGAAGCACCCTTGGACGAGTTGAAATTGAAAACTTTAAATTTTATTTTCAAACTATTTTTGGTTCAAACATGGGGAAAAGATTTTAATATTTTTATAATAACTTAATGATTAGAATAGAATAATATAATTAAATAAATATAATCTTAAGAAGTTTGTCTTTCCATTTATTCAAATACAGATTAATGAGCAACTTTCGGGGAAAAAATATAAATTTGAGAAAAATGTTCAAAATTTAAAAATTGTTTTTTACTTTAAAAAAAATAAAGATAAACTGTAACGAGAATGTCAGGGAAGTGTTTCCTTCTTGGATTAAAATTAATAACATTCCCATTTAGTTCTGTTTTCAATGTGAAACTGATCAGGTGTATTTTGCTTTTTTTGTTCATCGAGACATACCCAAGCTCGCGGAGGAAATCGAGGGAAAGGTGCGATGTCCTTTGTGGCAACATTACTCGGAAGATCGGTGTAGCGTCCTTTTCCCTTGTTTGTCTTCTTATGGCGGATGAGAAGTGCAGCTTGCATGCCAGCCACTGCCGCATTCACTTGTTGCCCACTTTAGCACCCAGAGCCTTCGGGCCACTGGGCGCGCGCGAGAAATGCTGAGCCTGAGACGGAGGTAGGCTCTGCAAAACCTCGCGAGGGGGCTCAGCTGAAATTGCACACAAATTCTCGTTTTACAGGGAGCAGCAGGCGTGCGTGCTCTCTCTAAAATCTGGAAAACTACTGTGATTTCTGGTCAAACTGGTGCAGATTTCACTCGCTCTCATTCATTTACCCACTAAAATTCACATGTTAAATTATTTTGGGGTATTCAGGATGTCGCAAAAATACTATGCACTATAAAGAAAGTATTAATATTTTCATTAAAAATCAAATTCGGATAAAACTAAATTTCTATTTCGCCACCTAACAGAAGTGTCTTGAAGTGTCGATTTGATGCCCCTATTCTGCATTAAATATGTATGGTCTCCAATATTTTATATTTTCAATTTTATCCCAGAAACTAAAAAAAAAATTGCATAGCCTCTTTCGGCCAAATAAAATATTGCGAAATAAATTCCTTAAAGGTTTGTTGATGAATTTTATGGCTATTGGACGTTATACGTTTTTCACTTAAGTTAGCAAAGCCTTTTCATTGAAGTGAAAAAAAAATAAAAAAAAAAAATAATTATGTACCGCAGCCGCAGCTGCAGCCGCAGAGGCAGCTCGTAAGTTTCTTAGGCTGACTGAGTCGCCTTTACTAGGGTGCACGCCTAGAAGGGCAGGGTTGATCGGCGCCCTGGAAGATGCTGTGGAGCCCGACTTTTTGCCCTTCCGGGCTTGTCGGATGGCCTGGCCGGCGGCCGCGTACATTTTTCACTGAAAAAAGATCAAATCGGCATCTTCAGTTATTTTATTCGGGTCAAAAGTTTACACCAAACACCAAATTAGGAATAATTGTGTCTGCAGCTTATTCAATCAGGCGCCTGAAAGGTATTTTTTTTGCTTTAATTAACGCGAAAATGGTTTTGTAGATAGACTTGTAATTTAAGTTAAGGGTTTTCAGTAAAAATGCTTTTTTTCTTCAATTATGCTCTAACCAATTTGAAGAAATTTAGTTTCAAATTACTTTTGTAAGTGTACCACGAAGCAATCTCCACCCACTTTGAGATACAATAATTAAATAATCATCAAATTTAAACACAAAACTGTTACCTCATTCCTCATCAATTAACTTTTGTTTAAACAAAGTTTTCACTTTTATAACGGTACTTAAAAAAAATTAAAAGCATGTTCTTAAAAAGCCTCAACAAACTAGGATATACTAAATTCTATAATTTTTAATTGTTTATATTTTAATTTTCCTATCCGTACGTTGAGGGACGACAATAAATTTTATAGCGATTTTCTAGCCCTACGAATTTTACGCAAAAGAAAAAGGAAACGAGGCTCACACTCAACGTCAGTACATCAAATGTCCAGCAGCGGCCTATTGAGAGACTATAATTGTGGTTCTCCAAAAGACAATGGGGAGCCGCAGGCCGTTCAACCCCACCTGTAGCCGAGATGAGAAGGGCACTTAAACGATGCATGGGCGCTGAATGAAGTTGGTTCGTTTTTATTGAGGTTGGCGCCGCACACATCTGTGGCTTTTGTCAGATATGGAGAGATGATGTTGGACCCATTGTGAGGCGCTAAAGGGGTTGTTTGAGCTGTAGGGTTGAATGACGCCCTGCTCTGAAGATGCTTTTATCCCGCAGAGTAAACATGCGAAAAATGTCAAATGAAAGATTTTGTTACAATTTTAACAAAAGGGTTATGTTAAAATTTATGAAAAAAAAAAAATTTAAAATTTTTTTTTGGCACTAATGGATTCAAAGAAAGTCTAATTCAATTTTTCCAAATATTTCCTTTCCGCAAATAAAGCAAAAAAATAAGCTGATGGCGATTCTGTATTCATTTTTGCAAAGAAAAAATGGGCAGAACAATCAATCTATTGAAAGCCATTATTAAATTTGCTATGAGTGATTTTATACGATTAGCTTTCAAGGAACAATAAAAAATAAACATTGATTTTACAATTGAGTGAAAAAGTGTAACGACAGGAAAGGACGCTCTGAAGGTAAAATTTCACGTGAGCCGCGTTCGCCTGCCTGATTCACGTGCGGAACAATATCGGAACAAATTGAGCAAATTCACGGGATTGCAATATGCGAAGCACGAAAATAGCGCACCTCATTTGCATGAAAACCACGAGGCGGGCGCCACTTGGTCCGCGGCCTCCAAGTCGTGGTGGTCACGAACACAATCAGGGACGCATCAGCCGACACGAAAGTGTGTAGTTGGCGAAAAATAAACTAATAAACTCTCCCTCCGTGGGTCGGCGCCGATCACAAAAATTTCTAAACAGAACAACAAGAGAAAAGTCGCCAGAAAACAAATCCACGGCTGCAACAAGTGACACCTGGCACCCCCAGTATAGTACTTTGTACTGTACTGAAGAAAACGACAACATCATAATATACAAAGTAACACCAGCCAAAGGACCCTGATTTTATTTTTAGATCAATAGTATTTTCTGTTAAAAAAAAAATAGTAATTGAGTTGTTAAATTTAGAAGTATCACGTTTAGTAAAAATATGGTTTTAAAATTCAATGCGTTTGAAGAGTTTTATTATTATTTTTATTTCTTAACTGCCAATTATTTTTATTGCTGAAAAATGTTCTTGTCAAAACTGTACACTTTCAAAACTTGCCCAAATTCACATTGTTAAGTTTTGCTGTTAAAATATACTCTATTGACTTTCAATTCCAATGGAGGAGGATTAAATCTACACAAGGGAAGGGACTATTTCGTTCAGTGGGGGCCCATACGAAATTTATTTTTCATTGTCATTAGCCAATCAGAGGTACCATTTCTGATTGGCCCTCAAACAATGAAAACTGGATTCCGTTGTTGCATGAGCCCCCATTACTTTGGTTGAATGCATTTACATGTGATTAAATAGAAACAATGAATTTCAATATACATTTATCATCCCCTGTGAATTGCGATAAAAATTGTCATTGCAGGGAAGTGGAAGTTGCATAACAACGATCGAGGGTGTCAAATTCACACATTTTTGGCATATTATTATAATGGTGATATGAATTTAATTATTATTTTAAGTTCATTTTTAAATAGATTTAAGATTTAATAAATCTTAGAAAACTTCCATTTTAATAAAGATGTAGTATAAATAAATGTACTAAACGGACCAAATTTTAACTTTAATTTGTAAACTGGTTTCAGATGGTGAACTCAGTAAGTGAGCCACCGTAAAAAAGGAACATCTCTCTATTTCAACTCGAAGCTTCTCTGTTTCTTTATCTTTCTAGTTCAAATACAAAATAATTAAAAAATGTAGCGCGCGCGGCTCTAAGTGTGCGATGCTCGTCGCGAAGCCTCACTCTCGTCAGGTACACCGACCTTCTCGAAAAGAGCGCCCGCGGCCGAACCCAGACTTTTCAACTTTTCAACTGGCGAGAGAGGCGACGACAGGCAGCACCCCCGCCCGCTGCCTCCAGCCGCCCAAGCAGCGAGCGTTGCCATGTTTCCACCAAAGCCGATCAAAGCCTCACCGCGCGCCGTACTTGGGTGTAATGCATAATATGGCTCCACCGCCGTTGCCTACCCGCGTCAGAAAAGCGGCGGCGGTTCCGCGGATTGATTTATGTTAAAAATTTCGAGAGAGACGAGCCTTGACGAGCCGCTGACGTTCTTTGACTAACTTTTCCAATGCTGAATTTTTTTAAATGCAAGACTGAGTACGTCGTATATATTTATTATTTGTTAAAATAGGCCGCTCTAAGGGTGGGTGTTTGCAGACGATTTTATGGTGCCCTTTTCTATTTCCTCTCTCTCCGTTAATGGTCTTCCAAAAAAACTTTTATTTTCGTGGGCGCAGCGCATACCTGAGCGAGCGAGTCCCTTCAAAGTCTGGGAAAGGTAGCATAATATAAAATCCAGGTACGGAGCGAGAATTTTTTGTCTTAAACCTGCACGGGAGGGCAATAAAATTGTAAAAATTTGAAGTAAAAATCATCCCCTATTACTGGCTTTCATTCATTTTTTCTGTTTATCGGGATCAAAATTGTTCTCATTCAGACATTTCTCCATTCAGACAGTTTTGTGCTCGTGATCCTACAGAGGAGTGAATGGGATGCACTTAAATCCTACCTTTCGGTGTCATCCTTCACTCCCTGACCATGGTAGGCGAAGCACCTTGACTGCAATTTTCGCGTGTCAGAGAACCCGCGAGCCCATTTGTCAGCGCCCAATTTTCGCGTCCCCAGAGATCCACCGGCCGAGCAGAGAGTCAACTGAATTAGGGTCGCAGTAGGTCAAAGCGCGCTTGAAAACTGACACGGTGTGTATTAGAATTGACCCGCCCCGGTGACCTTATGCAATAAAATTGGAACAGCGCGAGAGCGGCGCACACGCGCACAGGAGCGTCTCTCTCTGCTGCTTTCAGCGTTCGCCACCCACCTCGGCCAGCAGCCACCTCCGGCACCTTTTTATTCCCATGCCCACATTGCCAAATTATCGCACGGACTCACTCGCGGCGGGCAGATAGGGATCGAACCGAACAGTAGCCATCCTCCTGTGTTAATTCTGACACGCGGCACACGCACTCCTCCCTTCACACGTTGCGCGCCCGCCGGGGCCAAAAAGCCGCAACACGACATGCATATAATTATTAAATTATGGCGCTTTTCAAATAACACGAAGCGTTTTCGGTAATTTGCTAATATCTCTCCTCAAGAGGGCGGATAGCAGGGTGGATAAACACAAAGTATACTATGATTATTTAAAATAAAAAATATGTAATTATTCAAATATTTAGCAACAATTAAAACACAAGCAAGTATAAATTGTAATCAAAGATTTAAAAAATTGTTATCACTAATACCAATTTGAGTGAAGGAGTGAAAATAAAATTATAGATAAATATAATGTTATTTTACAGAAATAAATCAATTAATTTATTTCAAAAAATTTAAATATATTGAAGGAACTTATCTATATTAAAATTTATACTAAACATTTTAAATTATCAAAATGCAATATTAATAATTTTAATATAATTTATAACCTTATTCTATTATATATTATGACTGTATAATATAAAAAAAAATCTAATGAATTTTGCATGCTTTTAAAAGAATTAAGGATTTTTTTACAGTGTTGGAAGTCAAATGAATACATTTTTGTGAAATTGAACATCTTCCAAGAAATAACATAAGGTTTAAGGTTTCAAGCAAAATATTCAATCAACGGAGATAAGTGATATTTTGTTTAATTTAACCATTTAAATAATTTTAATAATTTATTTGAGCATTAATTTATTTTTAATGATTAAATACACTTAAAAAGCTTTTAAAAGTTTGCAAGTGTACTTGAAGGCTCAAGATCAACTTAAGTGTGCATGCGACCTTCGACATTGATTCCCTTTGATTGATATACATTTTGTTTGTTGACTTCTGACAGGGAACATTACTACATCGCACACGCACGCACATATAAACACGCACGCAACGAAATCTCATAAAAGCAGAGAGTGAATGAAAATATTTACTCGTCTTACAATCACAAGCTAAATATACAAAGCCGAAGCAATACATTAACATTCTGCACATTAAAAAGTAAATGTCATCTGTTAAACAAAATTAAAGACTGGCTTTTGCTGATAACACCGCAAAAATGAGGATATTTTCTGTCCTCATTTCTGATGATTATTAAAAATTACTGAAAATAAATATTATCATAAATCATTCGATTAATTTACTGCAAAAAATGAAAGAAATTGTTGGAAACTCGGAAGAGAAAAATAGGTTACAAAAAGCGATCCTACCCCTGCTGGGCTATTAGTGTAAAATAATAATGCACTTGTTTTTGTTTTCTGCCTAGAGCTCTGAAAATAAATAGGACCTACAGGTGTAGTGAACAGCCCGTGGCACTTAAATAATGCAGCATTCTGTGCTTAGGCGGTTTTGTTAATTAAGCGGATTAGCGTAATTTCCATTGCAAACTTTGATACTTATTAGAATCCGCAGGGAGCCGATTATATCTCTCTCTCGTCGCAAGAAGGCCGAGAGCGAGCAGAAGCTTCTAGGCCACGTCAATACCCAGCAAGTACACGCACCGAGCGCTTCTGCGCTACGGACGCTGCATGTTCGCAGCTATGGCACTATACTTTTCAGAGTAAACCTAAAAAGCTTCATTTGTCAAGCAAATTCAAATAGAGCCAAGCCGAAAAAAATCAGTTTCAAAACAAGAGTTTGCGAAGTTGGGCAAATCAACAGTTGTCTTTTATAAACACGTAAAGAATTATAGCTTAAAAAGCAAACTGCGAAAATATTGTTTAAAATGTATACAGAAGCTCTTGGGACATTTTCTGACTCATAAAAATGCTTGTCAAGAAGCTTTGTCGTTTGCAAGCACGCAATCGACTTTCAGCAAAATGTTTTTTACTGCGACCTTTTTACATAAAATTGTACAATTTTCTCTTGCATGGAAGGCTTAATTCATTTTCATGATTCTTTTGAAATATTCGAAGTACTCAACGTCATGATAATTTAAAATAAATTGTTTTCCTTAGGTATGTAGTTTCTCTTGACAGACTGTAATATTCAATCAGTCTTTCCTAATTCCAAATTTCAAAATTTTGATTCAGTAAATTAGCATCGATTAAAACATTTGCAAAAGCAACTGTGCAATTACTAACTTGATCCACAGGTTAGGTTTGAATTGCACAAGGTGGACACAAGTAAATATTTTAAAATACTAAAATAATTTATCAGAAGACTGTTGTGGAAGTTTAACTTTATCTCTGAATATTAAACAAAAATTACTTCTATTTAAAATTTGAAAAATATATAATTTAGCACTGTGTTTTAATATTGTTTACTACATGAAATTTGAATTTTTATTTCAGTGTGGCACTGGAAAGTGAATAATTAAGATAACTATTATAAATTTGCAAGTTGAACTGTCACGAATGACTGCCAATAAAAACTTATAAATATTAAAATAATGCGTCGCATAGTTAAGTAGAGAAGAGGGGGATAAAATTGAATTCAATATCGCTAAAACTTAAATCTTTTTTTAAATTTCAATTAACAAGAAAAGATAATGATTGAATTATTTGAAGTATGAAAATTGAAAGTAAATCCATCTTTAGCTTTAACTAGATTCGTATACAGAGATTATTTTTATGCTTGGCACGAGCCACGCGCTCGTTTTTATTTTCTTCTTTTTTTTTTGTCGGAAAGACACAACGAAGCTCTCTTGTAAAATGTGACACATATAATGACGTGTCAATTAGAAAGCGCGAAACAGTACGCGAGTTAACAAAAACTTCACGACTCCTTCAATTTTACTTCTGATTTTTTCTCGTGCTAACTGCTGAGCACCAAGACGAAAATTGTAGTGCAAATCAACAAGCCTTTCACAGAGCTAGAGAGCATACAAGTATAAAAATAAATCGAAAAACCGCCAAACAGTTTGCCTGCGCAACAGCCTCTAAACCACCGACAAACCAGCTAACAAATTAAAACACCAACTAGGGCAAAACTTATTGCGGGGAGTAGAAAACAATAATAATCAGCGCTGACTGACACCTCTGCCTGTTGAGGTAAAATTAATGGAAGTTTCAAAAAGTTTCCCATCAAGTGAGCGGAGTAGCGATGAAATTGCTTGTGGAAAAAGCAACTGCTGAGAGCAATTTATCAAAATTATATAGACACACACTATTGCCAAAATTGATGTTCAGAAATTCATATACAATTTAAAGGAGTTTTTTATAATAACAGATTAATATGAAGTAAAGAAATAAATTATTTTGTATATTAATATTTTTTATGGTTTTCTTCAATAAGAAAATGATAAGCTGGTTCGGTTTAAGTTTATCTCCTCTTTATCAATTAACCCAAAACATTCAATCACCCTCTTGCTCTTTTTTGCCTTGACTTGAATGCGGAACATATTGAGCAATAAAATAAAAAGTAGGTGACTTTTCCTCCGCGTGGTATACCTACAGATTATATTAAAGTGAATAGAATAAAATAGAATGTGGGAAAATTCGATGCACGCCATGGCTATTTGGAATCGTATCAATTTCCCTATGGTGGAAATTTGATAAGGTGTCAAAAGAGCCGATTTAACCCCGGCTCTAAAAGAGCCAATTAATTTTTATGTCATTTTTTTTCAATGGATGAGTGACTTCATTATAGTGACGCAGTATTGAGTTCTACTAATTAATTTTCTTTTGGAATTCATGGAACGATGTTTATAATTTTATCTCCAGATCTGAACAATTTAGTTGAAGTAATGGAAAATCGAGTGATGGTGGTGGTCACGATCTGTGTTTTTGCTAATGAATATGGGTGGAAATTGTTTGTTGACCGTACGCAAGACTGCGGTGGAAATTATTTCCAGCTGAAACGTTAGGGCGGCGCCTGATTGAAACCATCTGCATTCGCGTGTCATATACGTGTGGGTTATCGTGAAAGTAGTAATTTGAATATATGAGAAAGGTGATTGGAAAAGAGGGGCAGACTCACCAATAGATGCACTCAAGGTGCTCGCGTCCGCGCCGCCACCATATGTACTTAATATCGATCCGACGCATTCTTCATGCTAACTACTTAGTCACTCGCAGACCGCGCGTGCAAACACCTCTGATGCAACACATTCGCGCTCGCGAATCGCACGCACCCCTGGCACGGTGCACTGCTGCACCCCCGCAACACACTTGCACGCCGCCCATATGACTGCCAAGGTCAGCTCTCACGCACTTTTCCCGATTCGCAACACGCTCATCGTTTGCAGCCGAGCAGTGAGGCTGCGAGGGCGGAACATCATCACCCAGAGCGGTCCCGCTCTCCGAATGTGTTTGGCTCGCCCCCGTTTCCAGGCAACCGGTGCACCAGCAGCCTCCCCTCTGACCCCTTAACCTCCCAGACATCAGCACCAAGTCGCTATACCTCCATCTCAAGTGCCCACATATATAAGAATTTCCTCCAAACACACTCTCACTTAAACCGGACCTTAATTGAAAACCCAAACTTCGAACGCACCCTCGTCGGCGGCTGAGTTTTGAATAAAAATGTCGAGTTTTGAATTTTTTAAGTGCCTTCTCGTTGTGGTGGTGAATCGTTTTGAAAGGCATTTTGCAAATTGAAATTTTAAAAATTCATTTTATTTGCTGCACGCAAAAGGTCTATAGCGAGAAAAGGAGCGGTGGAGAGACGGCGCAGTCCATTTTCACCCAAGCACGCTCTGGCCGTCACATTGCCCAGAAATTTATCACCTAGAAAGAATGTAAAAAAAACTTTTTACTCTTAACAGTATTAAACGTCTGAATTTTTACTAAACTATGTAGATTTTTTTTTAACAAAATTACTTCCTTTACAAAATATTTTAGAATAATTATGATTAAAATTTTAAATTCTTGGTATTTTGGCAGCTGGGTTTTTACTTTAAATTTAGAAGTGTTTCAACTTCTTTCGGAACTTATTTTCTAGTTACTTCTGATACACACTGATAGCACGTGTTTTACTTTCTCAGCCAGCACAAATATAATATTACATTATGTATCTTTCCATTATGGAAGCTTCTTAGGTACTGATCTTAGGTAAACAAATTCATGTATATTATGTACAAGCTGACTGTGCAGCCCTTCGTGACCTTCAAGCTTAACCTGACGAAGTAGAAGAGTAACTGTGTGGTTGTTTATTCAGGGCATAATGAGTAAACTGAGCTGAGCTCATCGAGGCTAGCGACGAGCAAGCGGAGCGAGCAAACGCGCTTGAGGAAAGGGAGCAGGGCGGTAAAGAGCACACACGCCGCGACGCGACGGTTTTTCCAAAGACAAAATATTCCTCGCTTTCAAGACGTACTACAAATGCAACTCAAAATTCCCAAGAGGATATAAAACGAAAATGTGAAAATTTGATTAAAAAAATAATTATTTGAATGTCTTACTACAAAGTTTTTTTAAATACAAAAATTTGCAAATATCACACGTTTTCATATATTCTTAAAAAGCTTCAGAATATTATATAAACCCAAATTGAATTAGTAATTATCTCTTAAATATTATTTTGGAATTTGTATATAATATTTATATTTTTTTTAACACCAATTAATTTTCAAAATAAATAAATGTGCCAGAGAGGATTTTTTTTAATTAAGTTAAATTTTAACTCAAAATTGCAGGTGTAATTTTAGCATATATGGAAAAATTATTTATCTTTTAAGCGACCGCCGAGAGCCATTTGTATTTTACAAAACACGGTCCGCGCGCTCACCGTTAAACTCGTGGCGTCATGGGACTTGTTGGAGCACCGCGCGCGTTCCTCGACGTTTCAATTTGAACAAAAAAGACACACGTGTTTCAAGGCCAAAATTTTATGAGGAATCGACTTGCTGGCTCAGAATGCTCTTTTGTGTCTTATACAAAAAGAAAAATTAATGTTTGGACAGAGCTATAAATTAAAAGTGGCTGTTAAAATGTAATTTTGTAACTGCAAAAATGAAAATGAATAAATATATAACTTTTTTAATGCAGATTTTCTAAAAATAAAATTCATTGTTCTCAGCTTAAATGAGATTTTCACGCACTCTATTCAAGAAATTGACAAAGTTTATGCCTAAATATTCGGTTGTTGTTCTTTGAAAGAAAATAACAGATTTAAAGTAAAATATACAGCTATATTTTGCAATATTCAGACAAAACTTCAAAGTAATAAAACAATTACTTCTTTCAAACTACAGTGTACAATCATTACTAGGGTTCTGAGCTATCCAAAAGGTCGCTCATCTATTATGGGCAGTTTTAATCACACAAAAATTCGGTCTCATAGCATAAAAATTTAAGATTTGTTCACGGTGCTGTAAACAAAATTCATTTGTATTTCGCGTACAAAATTGAACCAATTTGAAGGTTTTCCTCCCAGTTAAATACAAAGTTGTAAACCACGTTATATTTCAAAGAAATTTGGTCCAGCAAATTGATATCCGGGGCTCTAAATTGGGAAGCGAAATTCTCAAAATGGATTAGGGTAATTGAAATCTCAAATTTTGATTAAAAAGTTCTGCAGACCAATTTGAAATAAAAAAGTGCCTTGCAACAAACATTTTACATCTGACGTGGAAAACCGATAGCTTGGAATTAAATGCTCGAAATGTACCCCTAGTCTCAACTCACTCACTATGGCATAATTATTTAGTGCCGAATTAAAACCACATCAAATTCCGGTGAGAGGAGTCACTGAGCTCCAGTCGCCCCTGGAGTTGCTCTCCTCCTCGCTGTACGCCGCCGAATGAGTTTCTGACTTGGCCAAGGGCTCGTGGTGCGGCGGCACTGAGAGGGGGTTGGAGGGACTGCCCTCGGAAGGGTACTCGACCGAGAGGAGGGGTGAGGTCATCATGACTGCAGCCGGGTGGTGGTGCAGGTGGTGCGGACTGAACTCGACAAGGGGGAAGTGGTGCGAGTAGGAGGACTGGTGGTGAGCCGTGGGACCGACCCTGCTGGCGGTCGTCTCCGTGGGGGTGGTGCCGCTGGCCCACACCACCGACGGCGACACCATTCCGTTGAAAATCGACGGCGACGTGTTGCACGGAATGGGCGAGATGTTGGACCAACTCACAGCACTGCTGCCACTCTCGGGGTGCATCGACGATACCATCGAGTGCCACGAAATCTGCGTGGCGGACGGGCCGGAAATCAGCAGGTGGTCCGGTTCGCACTCGGCACCCTCTGGACAATACGATCCTGCGAGAGAATGAAAAGGGAGGATTTTTTCATATAAAATGTTTATAAATCGTCTGATACGTAGCTTTTTTGTATGACGTGAATAAGATATTTTTGGCTGCTCGGTAGACAGAGTTAGGAAATCAGTCAGGGGAAATTTATTATACACGTATACTTTCTTTGCTTCTGAGCAGAAGGTCAGATCACGTCAATACTTATTTTCGGATCTCCCAGAACACGACATTAAGTTCGACTATTAATAAACTAAATTTGGCAACACATTTTAATTTATAATAATGATTTCTTTGTGATCAAATGACGTTGTAAAAAATTTCGCAAATAAGTTCACATTGATGCTTGATCATCAAGAAGTTAAAAGTTAATTTAAGGTGCAAAACGAGATTTATCATTTCTTCTCTCACCCTTTATGAAGCAGTGTGCTTGAATTATAAAAAGGAATATTAATAATGAACGCGCAGCGCAACTGATTTAGATAAAAAAATGTAATAACTAAAATAATTAAAATCAGACTTTTGAAGGAAATTTTAGCGCTGGTATATAAATAAATAAATGTAGATAAAATAATACCAAATGATTCAACTTTTTTCAAAGCTCTTGAAATCTGGGAACGCCAATAACTTGCAAAAAAAAGCTAATTTGCAAACTAATTAATTTTTTTTCAAAATTATATATTATGTGTTTATTAAAACAATTTCCTACCTGATTGAGGCGGAGACTGTCTAGTTGATCTGGAAGGCAGTACATAAGGACTTTGGCGATGTCTGTGTAGGGAACCTGGTGAATACCGCTCCTGACCTGGTGAGCCCAGCCCGGTGGGAACAAGTCCGGGGTGGTGTGGAGGACTGTGGTACATGCTCTGTGGAAGGAGCCACGCGCCGTCTGCAATAACAAAAACTGACGCTCATTAAAAATTCTCTCGAGACTTTGTGTTTAATTTCGAAAAATAAATAAGGAAAAATTTTAAATGAAAAGGTGCTTACATTGGGGATGCTGCGGCTGGTGGTGGTAGGGTGCGTGCTCCGACCTTTGACTGCTGGAGGAACGGTGGAAAATGCCGCCGGGGCTGGAATTGTTGTTGATGCTGCCCTCAGGCCTCTCCTTTGCGTCCAGAAACGCTTTGGCAAAAGGGTTGTATTTGATTTTGAGTGAGGTCACCTCCTCGTTTTGATAGGCCGTGACCGCGATGAATTGTGTCTCGGGAAACGGGTACGAGACCACTCTGCGGTGCTCGGACCCTACCCTCACTATGTGGACGCGGGGCTCGTATTTGTGAAGTGAATTCAACATGATCTGCTAACACATACAACCCAATTTAACACTATATACGGAGTTCAAACTAGTGCAGTAAATTTGTTAATCAGTTTGCGCCTATTAAATAAAATTTGGTATAAATCGATTCTTATAATTAAAAAACAATTTTTTTTTCAATTCCAGGAAAAATTATAGAAAATATTTGGATCTTTTTGATTATTTTACTAGACATAAGTTGACTATGTTAAATAATAAAGCTGAAACTTTTAAACAAGAAAATTTTAAATGTCTATTTACCTGTCCGTTGCCATTGCTCTTGTTGGTCAGCTTGACTTTTGCAAATGACACGGGCTCTCGCATCCAGTGAGCGCCGAAATTCGGCGACTCGGGATGAATGTAGATTGGGTTTGTCGGCGCGACTTCAGCTTTCCCGCCTGGCACCCACTCACCGTTGACGTATTTCCAGCGGTGCGTGTCAATTTGCACAAATTCCAGCAAAATTGAGTACATGGCGGTTGGGACCAAGCAAGAGACGCTCACTTTTACGACGGGAAACATGCGCCTAAAAATCATAGAGCATATGTTTGGATAATTTTCACTTTTTGGCTAACAGTGTGGACCATTTTATATTTTAAGTAAATAAAGGAACAGGTATATTTGCTTAAAATTGTTTAACGAATCCGAAATATCTAACAACAGCATATTTGCTGGCATTTTTATGAACAGCAGGCACAGCAGTGCACATGACATTTTATATTCTGTCGGAAAAAAAAATTAATATTTCATATATATATTTTTTTAATTGGGCTCAATCCAATAATATTTACAGTAACTATTGTACGTACTATTGAAAGAACTATAATTATTATCATACAAGATTTTGAATTATAACGGATTTGTTTTTTAAATTAATTAGCAATGTCATGCAAGATCAAACAACCTCATTACTCTCACTTTCGTCAATTCGAAATTTGAATATACTTGTGATTTTTTATGCATAAATTATAATATTGATTTTCTTGTTTACGCCGAGAACTTAGAGAATTGAGTGGACCGTTGCACGAAAGACCGTGCCGACCATTGTGGTCATGAATCATGATGACAGGATTGCAGCTCATCAAATTAATAAAAACACTGTGATTAAAGCGGAAATAACAACTCAAAGAATTTAATATTCAATAAGATTTTATGAGGAGTTTCGCAACTCTCGCCCATTCGCGCGCCTTGATTCTTTTCCTTTGTGAAAGAAGGCAATCAAGCTACCCGAGTTTGATAATTATCTTATATCGAAAAGCACCATCAACAGAACCTGCAAAACAGGCCGCACTTGTATAATAAAAAGTTTGATCTTTTGATGTTCGGCAGCTACAGACATCAATGATGGCAAATGTAATCAACAATAAATAAAATAAAAATGAGCCGCTTAACGATTAAATATTAATCTGCAGTCATGCATTTTTAATATTATTATTATGCATTTTTAGTCCCACTTGAGCGGCCAAGGAAGGGGCAAATTTTCAAAATTATTTCCATTTGTAAAAGAAATTTTTTTGGTAGGAGAGAATAATTCTATTTTATATTAAAAGCAAATTTGTTTAAAAAAATTCAAAAACGTGTCCCTATTTTCTTTTAGGCTCAAATTGTAATATGAAAAATTGTAGATTTTTTCATTTGCGCCAACAGCTTACGCAGACAGCCACATCAAACATTTCCCTAAATTTCAAAACACAAAAATTACTTTTGAATAACCCTGGATAACCTACGATATAAACGCACAAAATGACGCGAGCATCACCTGAAGTCCGCTCTTCTTTTATATTGCATTTATATTTTATGACGCCTTGCCATAATAATTAAATAAAATGTATTATGTTATAGAGTTGTAAACAACTATAAAGGGAAAAATGCGGCGAGGGAAGGCGGCAAGTTAGCTTTGATGTAGAGGTTCGGTTTTTTCTTCGGTTTTATTGCAGGCGTGTCTCAGCATGCCAGGTAGCGCATATGATAGCGGTGAGCTTTTATTTTTTTCGCTTCCTCTGCTCTCCCACACACGGCGACACTATGCGCACTAATTGTAACACTGATAAATTTTGTTGTAATTTATGTCTTCATTTGCGAAATTTAGACTCCTCGAGCAATGTGAAAAAGCGACAAAAATTTTAGGGCTGAAATTCCACAATATTAAAATTAATCTATTTAGAGGAGGTGTTTTAAATGTAAATTTATAAATAAATTAAATCATGACCATGAGATGGGAAATTCAAATGTTTTGTTGATTTAGCTAATAAATAGTTTGATTGTTAATTTTAAAATTTATTTAAATCATTTTAAAAAAAATGCACTTTGTTACATCAATTTTTATCTTATTCTTAATAATAATTATATTTTCATGAACAAAAACTTTTTAAGAGTAATTGAAACTACTTTATTCATTAAAAATTAACTGGAATAAATTTTGAAAATTATAAATAGCTTATTATTCTATAAAGTTGTACCACACAATGCATGTTACACATAATTATCTCTCCCACAAAAATAAATTTGCATTAAATTGAATTATTTTCAATATTTTAACCCTCGTCTCTTACTTTCTGTGATGTACATTTTGACGCTTTTGGAGCGTAAGAAATTGACTTTGGAAAGGTTTTGTACAGAGCAGTGAGAGAGCGTAAGTCGTGTCGTGTCTCAAAAACTGCAAACAAACAGCGAGATTGTGCTAATTTGTTAGAGCGCTCCTAACACGCGCTGGTCAAATTTTTAAGCGCTGACCAGTCAGTGAATGCACAAACTTCACCACAATATTCAAATATACAGAGTAAAAATCACATAATAAACTCCCAAAGAGTGAATTAAAAAAACTTTTTGCAGTTTTGTGAGTAAATTTAAACGGAGGAGAAAATTTATCTCACTAGTGAATCTTTATTAAGTGGATTAACCAAATAAATTTTTAATATTCACATGAAAAACTTTGGAACGTTGTAATTTCTTAAAACAAGTGATCCGAAAAATTAATCCTCTGCAGTAAAACGTTTCATAAAAGATCATGTAAGAAAAATTAAAGCAAAAACACGCGGGCTAAAAATATCCAAACACAACATATTAAAGCAAAAATAGTAAAGTAATTTTTTCAATAATATAAGAAGAAATATTTCCCTTAGAGATACAAATTTTGTTGAAATAATAAACCGCGGGCTGCTCACCTTTTTCAATGCCTGCATAGTTGTCTGCAGCACTTTTCATTAGGCAAAATGTTGCAAAAATAAAAAATAATAATAATTACATTTTATCGCAGTTTAACTATTTTTTCATTTCCGTCTCTAAATGAAAGGGCTGACGACATTAGCAAAAACTTCAATCTGATATTTTCAATACAGTCAGTTTTCAGAAGGAAATAGCGCTCTGTATGTTAATTCTACAAAATAATTTGAATTCAAATCTTATTTATATATTCTTATATATTTCTTAAAAAAGAAAAAACCAAACGTGCTTAAATTTCACATTGAAAAAAATATGGAAAGTGTCATTCAGAAGAATTCACGATTTTTTTTAATTGTTTGGCGTTTAATCTCAGAAAATTCCAAAAGAAAAATAATTTCTACCTTCCGTTTTTGGTGACGATCATTTCATTTGTGAGGCACTGGAACTTGGTCCACAGTTCGTGGTCATCGAGGCTGACCTGGATGTTTCGGTCCGACTCCTCTAGGTCCTGGTGCACGCTCAGGGTATGTCGGGTCATCCCTTGCTCAACCTCGGTAGCAGACAAGGTGTGCGACATTTGGACCATATCTTTTGCGACTAAAAAAACCTCTCACGAAAGCACCTTGCCGGCTGTCTCCGGGGGTCGCCCTTTCGAAGGAGGGGCTAAGCCGACCTGAGCTCCAATCGGGCGACACTCACCTGAGACGGACGCAACCTGAGTGCCACCTCGGTCCAATGAACACGGGCCCTCGTCAATTAAAAACGCACCAATACCCGCAGGCCATGGGAAAAAGTATTGCAGCATTATTTATTATTTAGGTTCAGGGGTCAGCCCTGCTTTTCACTTTGAAAAACAGGCATTGAGCATCTGTATGTTGTAATTCATCTCAGCAGCTGAGTCTGTTCGTCGCAAAAGGAATTAAATTGCGACAGCTGCGGAAAATAAAAGGTTGATTACATCAAGTCGTAACTTAAGGTCGACCTTTCTAGACGGATGCTTTCATTAAAGACATTACTTTTTTATGGCGTAAAATGCTAAAATGGTGATATTTGCAGGCACCTGTAGAATTCATTTTTTTTTAATTCACTAACTTCTTTTCTAAATTGCAACCAGGAGATCAATTTTCATGACAATTCAATTTTTTATGTACAGAGCCTATCTCCAATAATTTTTTTTATAAATTATTGAAAATATCAATGGGGAAAGTACTGAAATCGAAAGTTTTTTATGTGGAGCTGCATGGCAGTATTGAAACTATTGAAATAGTTTTCAATGAAATATTCAATATAAATGGGACACAATATCTTGAGCAATTCAAAAATTTGACAAAATGCAGGAGCGTATAGTCGTAATTTGTGTTCCTCATAATGTCTATTACGATTGAAGTAATTAAGAGTTTGTGAATCCTCTGAATGAGTTACTTTCATTCAGATTGGCAAACTTGGTTTTGTAAGACTGAATTTTTGTTTTGAGAATCTTTAATTGGCTCTCGCATTCATATTTTTTACCCCTTTTAAAGCGGCCAAATAAAAGACACTTCACATTGATGACGAGGTTCAAAGCCGTTACAGTGTTGCTGCAGGCCAAAGTATAATTATTATAGTTTAAAAGAGAGTGAAACCAATATATGCAGAAAATTCTTCTGTTTTTATTTAGCATAATTATATAAGTAATACTTTTATTTAAGAATTTTAAAGCCAATATCAAAGATTTTATTTTTATTTTAACTTTGGTAAAGCATAAAATTAAAAACAAAGAAATTTTAAAATATCATACAAAATTGGTAATAATATTTTATACCTTCAAATGATGTTAAGTAAAATTAATTTATTTCAAATTTTCAATCGTGATCTTATGTGACTGATAAAACTTAATAAGGAAATTAATACCCCTGTTTCCTTCTAATAAAAGTATCAAGTTTTAAAATTGTACTTTTTCTATTCCTGCTTTTTAGGCATTTATTTGCCCTAAAAGACAATGGTGTAAACTTTTAGTGCGTCGGCGTTGCGGCCTTAAATGCAGTGCAAGGAAGGGTTATAAAAGCGTGTTATGCTTTGGCTTAATAAAAAGGTTCGTGCATTAGTGGGCGAGCGCAGCATTAGTGAACCCGGCTGTGTGTTTGGTGAATTTTAACAACTCAATTGCTTGCGTGAACAAATCTTTTTTTACTTGCTGTATACACGGGCGGGCTTTTTGTTTTTAAATGAAATTTTTAGTAGGCAGCAGTTTGTCAAAATTATTTTTCAACCAGTTATTTTTCATAAAAGTATTCATTAAAATTTAAAAATTATTTCTAGTTCAATTGAGTCGTTTAAAATTTCCTTTTGTGGAGCATGCAATGCAAATGCATCAAGCAGGTTGCCTATTTTTATCGAGGCAGGCGCGAGTCTTGTGTGTTTGATCTGAACATATGTTTGGGGAATATGCATTGCCACAAAGGAGGCGATGCGCAGGTTGCATACTTTGACATTCATGCATGCGCTACCAGCTTCAGTTATTATACAATCATGAAATTTTTTTTTTGAACAGAAATAAGGATGAGTCAGCGTGATAAAATGTTACGGAAGAAAAACAATTATATTGGAAAATGAACACAATAATAATGAAATTAATATTTCTTATTTCTATAGCCCACAACAATACATTTTTGGTATTATAAATGATTAAAAGAGTTCAAAATTATTTTCATCTGATTTAATTGGAATAAAATACAATATGATGATTGTAAACATGAAAAAAGTAAAAATGTAAACTCAAAAACTCTCTTAAAAGAAGCAATGAACTTAACAAGACGCAGTCAAATTAATATCACTAACTTCTCACAGAAAACATTCAGTAATAATATAATAAAAGTCTTATGTTGACCTGGTGAGCGCGAATTGATAGGTTAAAATTAAGGAGTCTATAAAAAGTGTCCTGAAATAGGCATAATATATAATTGAAACAAACTTTAAAAAAAATAGCCATCAAATATTTAAGATGCTTTCAATCGACCATAATTCACCCATAAATGATCTAGAAGTTGATCAAAATTTGTTCATGAATTATTTCTGTACATTTAATATACACATGATTCAACAGCCAAAACTTAATTTATCCAAAGCTAAAAATTTGCATAGTACGAACTTGGTCCACTGCCTAATATTAATAAATATGATTGATTTCCGGTACCTACATAGACATCACATGCGTTTTACAACATACAATAATTATACCATCCAGGGAAGAACCTAATTCTTTACACCCAAGCTGGCAAGAATTTCTTTAGCCTCCTTGTTGGCCTGCAATAAATATATAAATGAAAATATGGAAACACATACAACTTAATTATCTTTTTACATTTTTGTCATCATCAGTTGTTGCTTTGTAGTCTCTTGCTCTTTTCAGAAATTCAACGGCTTTATCCTTTTGACCCAGCTTGTCGTAGATTTTGCCCATCAGCAGCAAATTCAAACTAAGAAAAAATGTTTTGATTAAGCTTTCCATACAGTTAAAAATTCACTTACCTATAAAAGTTGGGTGAAATTTTCTCAGCCCTCTCACAAAAAGACAGGGCTTCTTCGTAAGTCGAGTCGGGGGGTTTGGCAAAAATTGTGCTGGCAATTTTTCGCTGGTACCAGGGCAGGATTGTCACTTCGTAACACCAAACGCCCAACATGTAAAAGGTGGTCGAGTCTTTCGGGTCGAGCTCAACGGCTTTCTATACACAAATTAAAAATTTTAATAAATTGAAGAGGTAAGGCACATGAGACTTACAAGCATGTGTTGTTTGACTTTTTCAGTGACCGTGATTCTCTCCTTCATGCCTTCGAAGTGGCTCTTGGCGTCCAAAAGAATACTGAACCATTTGTGAACCGGAGCAACTTTTGGGCCGAACTGAAGTGCCCTTTCGGCCACCTCAAAGCCCTCCATCACCAAGTTCTTTCTTTCGGTTTCGTTGGCTGCCACTTTTGAGCGTTTGTATAGAGCTCGAGCGTATCTCCAAAGGTAGTCAACGTTGTTTCCATCCTGGAAATTTGTTAATTTTAATTTGACAAGTAAAAATTCATATGAATTCAAGGCAATTAAGTAATACAAAAATAAAATGGAAATTTCTTTGCATATTTGAAAGAATTAGGGTCACCTTGAATGGGGCAAGTTTCTGGCAAATCTCTTCAAATTTATTTTGGTCGAAGAGTTCGTCGAGCGTCTTGACATTTGGCTCATTAGATTGGCTCCTGGACCAACTGAAGGTGTGCACGGTGGTCACAATCGGGATCCAGACGAGCGTGTTTTTGCCTCGATGAGCATTGCCCAGCAGAATGGACAAAAACGCAGGAATCCTTTTCGCCTGAAAATAAAATCATAATTAAAACCAAAGCCAACAACACCGCATAAGTTTGAAAAATAAAAGCCGCATAGGTTTTCTCAAGTCACTTTGCGTGTTAAGTTATTAATACACACATACAGAAGGAATGAGTCATTGAACTTCGGCATTAAAGGGTATTAATTAGAGCAGCGATTACCAAATCACCTTTCTTAATAGTTATACAAATGTTTATTTTCAACGAAAGAAAAATTGATTCGGAATTCAATGAAATGCTTACCGAATTCACATGGCTGCGGTACTGCTGACAAAACTGGGCAAATGCACCGCGAAAAAGCCTCAAAATCATTTCGTCCAAGAGTCAGGTGAGTTTGACAATCTCCAAATAACCAAAACAAAAACAGTCTGCGAGTACGTGACCGGGCAGTAAAAGTAAAATTAAGCCTCGAGCGGCTGCAGAGGCGCTGTACTGCGCCACAAATCAAGTTTTTTAACTTGACTTCCAAAATTCACCGCCAGATGGTGCGAGGTGTCGCACATTTACTAGAATCTCATCTCACGCAACAAGAATCTCACGTTTCGCTCTGTTTTTGTTTATATTCGAAGCACCGGTGTGGTGTGCTCTGAACTAAATTTTGCGGAAGAAAAATTTTATATTAATATACTTTTTATAAATAGAACAATGAGTTGCCAAAGGGCTTTTCTGGGACTTCTTTTGCGTCCGCCTTCTTTGATTTTGCGGTCCGGAAAATTTGCAAATTCTCCGTCGCAAATTTTGTTCAAGCCGAAGCCGACCTTCTCGGTGCTGCTGACCAGGTCTTACGCAAAGGGCAAAAGCAAGGGCGCGGATGGCAAGAACAAGAAGAAGCAGGCGGCGTCGGCAATCAACGAGAACGACTTTGCCGAACTCGTTGCCGTGGACGCCATGAAGACCCAAATGCAAAGGGCTCTGGACATTTTGAAAGACGAATACGTCAAAAATCTTTCTCTTAGATCTACAACAGGTTTTACAATTCAAATTTTAATGTACATATTTAAAATATTTTTTAATGTATTTTCAGGCTCCATCGAATCTATCAAAGTCAAATTCGAAGGCCAGGATCACGCCTTAAACGAGTTGGCTCAGGTTGTACGAAAAAACCCCAAAACTTTGGTTGTCAACTGCTCGTCAGTGCCTCAGTCCATCCCGAACATCCTACAGGCCATCAAGCAGTCGGGAATGAATCTAAATCCCCAGCAAGACGGCACAACCCTTTTCATCCCTATCCCAGTGTAAGCAATTATTTGTTAACAAAAAAAAGGGTTAATTAATAATAAGAATAATTATTTTTTATTTAGTGTTACCAAGGAGCACAGAGAAAATTTAGCCAAAAATGCAAAGTCCTTGTTTATTAAGGGCAGGGATAACATTAAAGAGGTGCAGAATAAGTATGTTCGAAATCTGAAAAAGGCAGCAGGCGTCTCCGAAGATCTAATTTTTGGAGCACAGCAACAGGTAAAATATTTATATTTGCCCATCCTGGGTTGAATTTTGAAATGTTTTTTTTTTTACTTCAGATTACGGCAATAGCAGATAAATATGTAGGCGAAGCTGAGAAAATGTTGCAAACCAAACAGGAAGAACTAGTGGGCAAACAGTAGCAGTGCAAAAAAACTTGTAAATACGTACGTCATTCAATAAAGAAAGATATTCAATTTTAAATTCATTTAATATTTTTTATATTGTTTAAGTTCAAAACGTAAGAAACTAAAAAAAATTGTCTTTTGAAATTAGAAAATTGTAACCATTTAGATATAATTTTTAATTAAATGAAATTATTTAGAGATATAGGACGATTTTTTTTACTAATTATTTGAAATAATTTGTTTATTATTTTCGGTACTATTAAATATAAAAAATTTCAAAATTACGTAGAAATTTCTAATGCATCAGAAATGATCAAAGGGGGGTGTAGGGGGGAGCGCGCGAGAGGGCGCCGACAGGAAGAGCGGCGGCTTTTCTTGTGTGGCGCCTGCTGCGAGAAAGGGGCGCCTATTTATTGCCGAGGCGTGGTTTGGGGTGAACGTCGCCGCCCCCCGTGGCGCAGGCATACATGATGGCGAGCTTAAGATGGACAGGGGTGCAGTGTGAAGGGCGCACGCAGCTTAAGGAGCGAATCCGCCTTGGTTATGCAAGACGCGGTGGTTGCGCCGCTCTTTGATTTGCAGCCGCACACGATTTCGCACCGGCGACAAACACACGCGTCCACTCATTAATTCCCAACGACAATGAGCACCGGTCACTTAATTGCTGACCGACTCCACTAAGTCTGAAGCCGGCGGATCCAAAAAACCTGCAGCTGAGCCGACGGTGAGTTTCTGTGACTTTTAATTTATTAATTATCTTTAGCCTTTTAGCCGTCCAGGTTTATTTTCTAGAATTATTTATTTTTAACAAAAGAAGGGTAGGATTTAAAAAGAGGGAGGAATTTTGGAATTTATGAATAAAATTTATTGAGTTTTACAAGTTCATTGAGGTGACGGTTGCCATTATTCAATCAATTGTTACCATAATATTATTAGTGCAAAATAATTTCAAAAGATTAATCAATCAAATTTTTTATCCTATCATTTTAATTACTATATTTTCAACCACTGTGTTTATTTTCCTTATACAAAGTGAAGTTGACTAATTTTATGAATTTTGATTCTTTTTGTATTAAATAATTTAAACTTTTAAAATTAAATTATTTTTAGGGAACTCTTTCTTTCTTCTATTTAATACTTCTTTTCATTTAAAATACGGTTCAATTTTTAAGTTGAAAGCTTGCAAAAAAAATGTTAGTTACATTATTTTGAGATTTTTGTCATTTATTGCTGGTGCTAGCAATATATACGATTTGATACGTTTAAACCTGCAGTATTCCATATTATTATTTATTGCATTTTTTGTTCTGCTGTTGAGAGTTGTCGCAAAAACAGGGACTGCTCTGTGAAACTAATGAAAAACAGCGCAGTGATGTGCATCACACGACGATATTGAAATTGCGCTCTCGCTCTCATCTGCACCAGAACGCTTTTCCAATTTGTGTTCTCTCTGCCTGGGCGCCGCGCGTCAAAAGGGGCGACGAGTTTAATGAAAAAACATGCGGTCAACTTGTACAACATCAAATGCGTTGCAACTTTGTGGCTTTGGACCGTTTGTCTCTCTCGCGCGTCCTCGAAACAACCCAACTCTTCAAATCAAAATTACTTAATATCGTTCTGCTATATATCGTTTTAATTGATGAAGATTTCATGTAATTAATCAAATTACGTTATGAAAGGCTCATAAATAAATAAAAAGGATAAAATTTAATCAAAATAAGTAAAAAAGTTTTTTTTAATGAAACTTTAATTAGTAAAATCTGTTATGAAACTATTTAATAACATCAATATTCCTGCCATTTGTTTAATTGAAAGGATTTTCTTTAATTATTTTGGGAAAAGTATCTACTGTTTATTTTAAATTTATTTTATTTAGTATAATATATTGGCTATTAGAAATATGGAACATACATTAATAGCAGAAGATCAAGTTTTTTCCTTTTATTTTAGCTTTTTTTATTTTAAATTTCAAAGCCAAGAGCACTTTGAAATTCCAATTGGGTTGGGGTTATACAATTTAGTGTTTGGGGTTGACATTCATGTCATCGGAGGTCAGCTGCTGTTGCTGCGAGCCCCGAGGGGTTGTTTGTCACCGCGCGCTGCAATCAATGGTGCAGCGTCGCGTTTATTTTAGCTCGCGACACGCTCCCCTGTGTAAATAAACACGCACGTCTTTTTCTTTTTGTGCAAACATGCGGCCGGCAAATGAGCAGTGGGCCAATTATTATTTGCTCAGCACAATCCGCTCGACTTCATTATGTTATTTGGGAAAACTCGCAACACAATTGGAAGTAAATAATATTATGGATACAGTATATTCATGGAGACCGTGAGAAAGAAAGAAAGGACCGCGCCAGAGGATTTGTTTTGGAAAAAAGAGCATTGCAGAAGAGTGCATTTATATGAAGTTGATCTGTAAATTAAATATATTTTACTCAATTTTCTTATCATTATATGATTTTTTATTTTAGCAAATAAATATTGTTGGATTTTAAAAACTATTAGAGAAAAAGCCACTTATTATTATTACCATTGAAACCTTCATTTATATATTTATTTTATTTTACCTTATTCTTTCTTCCAATTTCTAGAATTAAAATAGTTACTCAAGTTCCATATGGCTATCAAATTTTTTTTTTACTATTTTTATTCTTTCAAATTGATACAAAAACAAAATGATAAATATTAATAATAAAAAAAATGAGTTGTTAAGAACATTTTGCACATTGCTTAATTACTTAACATGAATTTTAATGAATTTGCATTATCAAACGATGATCTAAACTTAGTTCATAATGAGCAAGTTGATGAAAGGGTCGAAAGGGCGAGACTTGGCGCACCGAGCGACACCTCCGCGTTCCTCCTTTGTGGTTCTCAACACACATGTGCATGCTCTGCGCTTCTTTTCCAGCACCCTGCGCCGCATGTGCGAGCTCCGGGACCCTTTTCCTTTCAACGCGTACTCACTGACTTATGTACATTTAAATATGTACGCGTACGGAACTTCCTGCCTGCTTTCCTCCGCACGGGCTGTCACGTCATCATAATGGCATTTTTGGCATTGCGATGTGCCGACTCAGCCAGCCGTCAGATGCTGTAACGCACAATGCGCGGCGCCCACCCCAGCAGCACCCTCGACACCCCAGTTTGCTCCTCGAAAACGCCAGCCATAGAGAGGCGCGCAGAGATAAGTTTCGCAAAGTTTCAGCCTCGGCATGTCAATTATTATTCCTTTTGTCCTTAAGAAAAACACTTTTTTTTTCAAAAAATTCCTCCAATGTCTGAAAAAAAATTTGATTCGGGCGTTGAAGTTGCCAGCAAATTTTTCAATGCAACAAATTCATAGGGAGAGGCAAAATAAGGGTATAGAAAAAAAAGGCAGAAGAAATTATTTTAAAGAAAACCAAGAGATGAGAAAAAGTTCCAAAGGCGAATAATTCAACAATACATGGATTTTTTCATTTTTATTTTGTATTCTCTATATAGTGCCTTTTTTAGCGCCTCTCCACGCGGCCTTTACAACTTCAGAGGGTTGAACTTGGGCCATATATTTGTGTGTGTAATCGGATAGGGGCGGCCAAGCAGCGCAGCTTATTTATTGCAAGAACCGATACGGATTAACTCGGGCATGATTAATTGATTCACAACGAGCCGTGTAATATCATACGCAGTGGGTGCAGCAGGCCCCGCGTTTTGGTACAGGTGTCACCACCCTCTCCCCCTGCGTCCGCGACGCCCTTTGTAAACGAGATGGACACGCATATATAAAATCCACTCGCCCTCTTCAATGCCGGCGAAACAACTTTAATTACACTTCGGAATCAAAGCGCACAAAAATGTTGCTGGGGAGGGAAAAAGAACAATGACACAGATCTGTTCAATAAAAGTTTGACGATCTGTTTTGACAACAAATTTATAGCTCCGTCACCATGAGAAAAGAAACTTAAGAAATTGATATTATATACGAATTTTGCTGCTGACTTTCATTCTAAATAAGTCTCTGATTTTTATTTTTGACATGATTTAAAAAAATGAATTTCTAAATTAATTAAAAAAGAAGTTTTTCAATGGAAGAAGTTGAATTAACCTGAATAAGAGTGCAGATAATTGCTTGATAATTTCTAAGGTTGCAAGACCTAAAAAAGTTTTTGATTCTGTTCTGAAATTCAAAGTTCTAAAAAATTTAATTCATAAACTTTTAAGCACTTATTGTTAGCTTACTTTTCAAGAAAATTATATAACCAACCTATAGATGTATAGTTTGAATTCTGATGTGCCAAAGCTGCTTATTCTGATTCGCATCCTCCTTGATCCTTGCATATACGCACACCAACCCTATGGTTGCGTATTTTAGTAAAATTGAGCCTTTGCTCCGGTTGCCGTGGATCAGAAATAATAGTTTTGCTAAGTCTCACTTGGAATGCCCAGCACCTTCACCCGCACCACGGTCTTAGCGAAGTCGAGAGAGCGAATTCCATTTAATATCATGTAGCTCGTTCTCGCACGCCGCCGCAATAATTTCTGCTCAAATACCCTTCCCTTCGGTGAATTTGAGCTATTTTACGAGACGAGAATAATTTCGAGTCCTAACTCCCAAATTGTATCTGCTTTTGGATGAAATTTCTCTCCCTCGGAAAAGCGTTTGAAATAGTTATTTATTTTCCCGATGCTTTTCGGCCGCAGGATTTCAGTCAGGTTGTTGCTTGTTTTGCAGGCGATGGTGGAGGACCGACTTCAGCTGCCTGGCGAGTGCGCCGCGTGCCGACGCAGCATCTGCGATCGCTACATAATGCGCGTGGCCGACGCAAACTACCACGAACGCTGCCTTCTGTGTTGCGCGTGTGGCGCGCGTCTCGCGCACTCGTGTTTCACCAAGGACGCCAAACTCTACTGCCGCATCGATTACGACAGGTGGGCAAAAATGTATGAAAAGTTTAAATAAATTGATTATTGCAAAAACAAATGAAAAATTAAACGTTCATATTCTTTGCCTATTTTTTTGTATAATTTAGCTAGAAAAATCAGTTAAATAGACAATAATAGTATGAAATAACTCGAGCAAAATAACAAATAATTTTTTTGTTTATTTGAATCATTTAAAAATAATTTAAACAATACTTTTAAAGTTTAGATAGCATTGCAGCTCACAATATTGACAATTTTAAAAGTGGATTTGAAGTGAACAGGCGTTGAACCAGGTGAAAAAATTTTTAATTCAAACAAAAAACACGGTTGTGTCAGTTCTGTATATAATATGGTCTACTTCCTACTTCATGAGGAAGTAAAAATATAAAAAATTTCAGCAAAATTGGAAAAAAACTTAAAATAATTGATATCTTATTATTTAAAAGTGATTCTTTAAAGTTTGCTGATTTTTTTCCAATTAATTTTTCTTGCACACATGAAATTTGTTCGCGGACCGTATAACAAAAATAGGTAGAAGCGTTTTTGAATATATAAATTATTTTAGCAAAGTTAGGCTCGTTTTCTTCACTCCCATGATCATCTGCCTAGAGTGAAAATTTCTTCAATCAAATTTTGAAGGTTTAAATTTTTAGCCCATTTAATTAAAATGCGCATTTTAATATCAAATTTTTGTTTCATATACACTTGACCGAACTCGTACCGCAAAAAGAATTTTCAATAAGGCTCAAAAAACACACAGATGTTGCTCGGCGTTTGAAAGGGTTGTCGGGGACAAAAACGAAAGTGTCCAGTCATCGCCGGCGTGCCGCAGAATAAATTTGCAGTGCACCTGCAACCGGCTGACAAAGTTGAAAAAGTGGTCCGGCGGCCGCACTGCGATGCTGCAGCCGCGCTGCAATAAAAAAAAGCGCCCTGCTCGTCGCGCGCGCGTTAAAATGTATGAAGTCATCTAAATAACAAAGGCAAAAAGTTTTATGTGGGGCCGTTTTGTGTTGCCATCTTGTTTTTGCTGATGCTTTTGTGCGCTCTTTTATGTCTGGCTCGTCAGTGCATGTGCGGTCGGTTATACACTAAATGGAACGGAATAATGTATTAATACATTACCACGGCCCGCTGCATCAATGATGTGGTATTTATATCAATTTATTATCCATTTGCTGTCGCGTTTATCTGCGTTGTAAAACGCATGACTTGCTCGCTCGCTCAGTAGCCTGGCTTTTTCACCCCTTTGTGTCCGCGGATGCGCGCGTTTTGCACGCGCCATTTACCCCGTCCAATTTTCACTTTTGCAGCGGCTGCATCAAGTGCGCGGCACTAATTGTTTTTCGCCCACTGAATTTGCTGCAAGTGAACTCTGACAACCAAACTGATCGTGAATGGAGCGTTTTCAAAATGTTTGTCGCGCCTATTCTAATCGATTTGACAAGCAACTGTGAATTCTTTAGAGTTCAGTGACTTACATCATTTAATTTTAGAAAAAAAATTGATCATTAATTTTGTATCATTTTTAGCACCCACAGAGCTGTTGTTCAGCTCAGAGAACAATAACAATTTTTAAAGATTTCTAAAATTTGTTTTAAAGGTTTTTTTCTTTCAAAAGAAAAAATTTAAATTATTATTTATTATTTTATAATATTTATTATATCGGATTATTTAATGTGAGTAAATAAAATATTTTTTGTTTCAACTCCCTAAATGAAATAAGTTTTATTTAATTTCAATGGTTAGTATATTATAATTATTCTTCATCTATACAACTTTTATAGAAGGTTTTCTTTTGAAAATTAATTCCATTGCCGCAAACGAATTGTTCAATATCGACACCATCATTATTTTGAGCATAAGGGAGGATATTAAATTAACTATTAATCAGATTTATTTCTCTTCAGTAAAGAGAAAATTGAATTGGGGTTTTACTTTTATTGATAAATAATTATTTTCTCAAGTACTATTATTACTATTCATGTTATACTTATTTTGGAAGTGATGAACTCGGGCTTTTTCCTCATTGTAATTCCACCTCCATGACCATCTCCTCGAGTGTCAGTTTCTTCAAACAAAAATATACTTATTTTATTCAAAGATTTTTTTTTCAAAGTACTAAAATAGCTCATCAAATTAATTAGCCTGGTTCTTTTTGGGTAAAATCAATTGTGGCCACTGTGAGGTTTGCACTGGACCTTGAAGTTGAAAACTGATCTCGTGGAAAACCGAGAATTGTTGGAAACTTGCAAACAGAAACTCAGACAGAGCTCTTTGATGTTTCAAATCGTAAGGTGAAAATAATATAATTCAGAGAAGTATCTCAACAAACCTCAAAGTCTGACAGAACTTTCAATCAGAGCTTTGCCAAGAGTCTGCCGAACTACTTTATTAATTAATCCAGGCAAAGCCTCCGACCGCAAATATGGTTTGGAGTATTATTCAAAGAGCAGCAATAGTAATTTGTCTTTGTTGTGTGCGGCTGGAGATGAAATGCTCTGCGGCGCAAACCAATCAACTGCCTCAAAGCTCTCAAAGCATCTTGCCTATTAATTTCCATGCATATATGCGCGAGGGCATACAGAGGTGCACCTATATGAATTTCGGCGTTCGGATTTGATCCGGTTGCTGGCAAGTTGCGAGAGCAAGTCGTGTGCGAGCCGCCAGCTTCTCCGACCCTCGAGGGGCTGGATATTGATCTGCGGCCGAGGTTATTGGCTCACGTCTAAAGATCCGACCCTTGCGGCCAATGTTTGCAAAGAACTGCACACACACACGTTTTCCTGCTGCGAGAGAGAAATTTGCTGACTATGCGGAGAATCTTTAGCACTGCTATGTGTGCGCCACTTGCATTTGACAGCTAATAAAATTTGCTATACGTATAAATTTGATTCAAGATTGGTGCGAAGTTTCATAAGCGAAATAAGATGCTTGGTCAAGGAAACGAAATTTTTTCTCCATTCTTTAGATTTAGTAGAAAAAAATTTAAAAGGTATTGAAATTTTTAATAAACATTTTAAGAATTTGATTGAAGAAATTGGCACTCGAGGAGACGATAATGAAAGTGAAGAAAGCCTTTTTTCCTTACTTGCATATGAAGTATTTAATTAAAACAATTAATTCTTTAATTATTACCTGCGAATACTTTATAAGTACAAGTTGACGAAATAATTAATCTCTGTCATAATCTATTTTTCAAATTTTCACATACGTCCAATTCTACTTATGGTACTACACATATACTTATCAATCAAAAAACAAGTTTTGAAATTCAATATAAAATTTCGTATCCATAATTGGGTATCAATTTTTAATTAAATAAAATTTTTGCAGTGAGATACTAGAGTGAAACACCTTAATAGTTCTTATTTGCGCACAGGTATAAAATTAATTCTTCCCTGCTATGTTTATTGAGCACTTTATTAACACCTGTAAGGGGGCACGTGCTAATCTTTGGCGCGCGCTTATCAATTCCCAAAAGAGCACCCATCTCATATTATGTACTGTGTATTTATTTGCGCGGCTCGAATTATCAAACTGCAATTATTTGCTCTGTAGCTCTGCACGCGGGTGGTTTTCATCTGCCAAACAAAGATATATCAGGGGAGCATAGTGCGATTTATTGAAAAATTCGTGTTTCTATAACAGGCGAAAATCACAACAAACACATTGAAAATCAAACGTCATTGAAAAGTCAAACCGTGACAAATTAATGAATATGAAAATGAGCCCCGCAGACTTACTTATAATTCCGATTAAATCTCTCTCATTATCTGCAACTGCTTTTGATGCGATTTGAATTGCTCGTCGCGCCGAGCGACAATTTGTAAAAGCGATAAAAGAGTGAGTTTTGGCGCGATTATATCAGCAGCAGTCATCAATCAATTTGCCGTTGACGCCTCACTCCTTTGTGATAATGTAAATAACAGCAGCAGCAGCAGCAGCAGCAGCAGCCGAGAGAGCATATGGGCCCGGGATTAACTGGCTGCGCGGCTTAACCTGTCACTCAATCCAATGGCGAATAATTATCTCTCAATTTCGAATTTGACACTTTTCCGCCTTATCTGTGGGCAGGTTGTACGCCAAGAAGTGCCTGGGCTGCTCGGAGAAGGTGAGTCCCGAGGAGTTGGTGATGCGGGCGCTCGACAGCGTCTTCCACCTGCGCTGCTTTGTGTGCGTCGTGTGCGGCGGTCGCCTCCAGAAGGGCGACCAGTTTGTAATCAAACAGGGCCAGCTCTTCTGCAGACCCGACTACGAGAAGGAGGTCGAAATGCTGCAGGGATACGCACCAGGTACAGCTAATTAATTTTGAATTAAATTACAAGCAAACTGAAGAATATACAAAATTATGAAACTAAATTTTCAATTTCCCTGGTCATTGAATTTATAACAAAAACCGCAAGCAATCTTAGTTACTGGGATATGACCAAATACGTACATAATAAATATAAAAAATTTAAACATCAATGGTTTTTTGGGAATTAAATATTTTGATTATTTCGTTCAAGGTGAATTCCCATGTGATGATCTGATTGCCACTTCCACTCGTCCCCATGACGGTAGACGAGGCCCAAAACGACCCAGAACAATTTTGACCACCCAACAGAGGCGGGCTTTCAAAGCTTCCTTTGAACTCAGTCCGAAGCCGTGCAGAAAAGTTCGCGAAACCTTGGCCAAAGACACAGGTCTCAGCGTCAGAATCGTGCAGGTATTTATGATTTTTTTCTTTTTTTAAAGTGAAGTATAAATTTTCGGTCAGGTTTGGTTTCAAAATCAACGAGCGAAAATGAAAAAGATCCAGAAGAAAGCACGGCAGGACGGGAAAATTCTGAAGGACAGCGAAGATTCGGAGCCGGGAAACAACAACGGCACCAAAAGCTGCAAAATCAAAGAGGAGCAGGATCAGAGTGAGTGAGAGCTGCTCATTGAAATGTTTTTGCGACGATTATCGTGAGGCCGCGCTATTCCTCCCTGGGGGCCGTTTTATGCCCTCGTCGGCGCATTCATTTGCGGATAAATTCCTCTCTCGTGAGTAGTCGGCCGACGAGAGAGGCCCCTTGTCAGTCGAAGCGCTCGGGCCACAGAGAGGAGGATATCGAATATTACACGCGGCCACCCCTAAGTTACAGACACGCAGATCCACCCCTGCGATATTCTGATGTGCGGGCTGTTGCGTTTTATCTCTTCTTTATTATTTAAATATCGTATAATATAGGCCGATTAAAGCCACACTGACTAAAATATTTCGAGACTCAAATAACTTCGCGTATTTAATATTATACAAAAAAGATTTTGAAAAGGGGGATGATTTTATCATTGGAGATTAATATTTTCAAGCTTTGGCTGCTTAGAAATAACTCTATAGCATTACTTATAACACAAATAGAGCCAAAAATTTGTATACTTAATTTTAACTTTAAACAAATATTTTTAACTAAATTAAATTATATGTGTTAATATAATTAACATAATTTTGTACTTGACAGAATGTTTATTTTATGTAAATTTATATAAAAACCGATATTTTATTTGCTCAATTCTCAATGAGAGGTGCTAATTGGGTTTTTATTAAAACACATAATAATCATAACTTTTCTTGCCAGAGTAAAAATAGCATTATTTGAAGCAATCTTCATATTTTTGCTTAACAAAATAACCTCCTCTGTCAAGGTCCGCAAGGCGTCGGCTATCTGAATGACTGCAGCAGCGACACAGAGGCCGGAAGTTTGGCCATCGAAGGCTACGGCGGGGACGTTGATGGAGCGTCTCATTACCTGCCCCTCAAAGAAGATGCGCCCGGCACGCCTGACCCATCTGAAGTTGCCTCCCTGTTCTTCAAACACCAGGAATTCGCAGCAGTCCAAGGTAGTAACTTTGCTTTGCACCTCGGGCTTTGCATAATTAACCATGAGTATAACATGCTCCCCCACGAACTTACTTCATTAGTTTAATATACAGGCTAAGGGCAGGTTTCAGCTTGAAATTTTATCAAAGATAACTTATTCGGCTGACAGATTCAAGCACTTGTCAAGCCGTTGTCTCAAACAAACGATCAAAGTGAGATTAGAGTTTTGTTTGTTCTTTGTTTTATGCACTGGTTTTATATAAAACAAATCCGGATATTCTGCTTTTGTTGAAACCAGGACTAAAAATTGACCGTAATTAGTTGGAATTAAAATTTTTAAATAAATTTCAGTGTTCTTTTCAATGACTTTTTTAATAAAATGACACCCTCCGTTCCTTTGATTTTGAATGTCTACTCCTACTCAACTGAAAATTTTTGCACAAATTCTTTTGAAATTTAATGCACCCCTTCGAAGAGTTCCGTTTACTTTTTGTCTGCTACATTCTTTTCCGATTCCTCCGGAAATTATTGAGATTTAAGCGTCGCCTCTCGGAGAAGGAAAAATGATTTGTTTTAGGCTGGCACGTGTGTGGCTTGGGGTGCATATCATGTGTATGATATGTGAACCCGCTGGTGTGGTAAAAAGCGCATTTATCACCGCCGTTTTACCGGAGGCGGAGTGGGGCGCGTGCTGTGCGGAAGAAGCAGAACATTATCCGGAAATTTTCTCGGTATTTGCCTTTATTTTTTATCCGCCTGCAAATCGCTTAATGCCGGCGCAAATCCTCCGGCGGTGGGGCCTCGCAGATGGAGAATCGATGAGCGAACAAATGATTTTTATGTCTTTCTCGTATATGCATTGCCCTTTTGAAAACGATAAAAAATCCGCCGCCTCTCCGTGGCAATGGCCAATTCTGTTTAATCGAGCCATTCATATCGCATCGGCGGCGGCAAAGAGTGGAGCGCCCCAACATCTGCGCAATGCTTTTATTGTTTCACTAAATTACCCTCGTATTGTAATGAAGATGGTACGGCTAACGTTCGAATCCATTCTGAAAACCATTGTGTGTGTCTTCATCCTCTCCGCGCGCTCATTTATGGAAATTTCAGTATTGGATGTGAACGTTTTGCAGCACACGCGGCGTGAGTGCTATTTCCCGATCGCCTCGGCCTGCTCGTTTATTTGAGAAATACAATTGGATTATTGCAAACATTGAAACCTAAATGAGTGCTTCAATGACAAAACAAGTCATTATATAAACTTTTTAATTTATTATTATTTAGTAATAGCAAATTTATTTTTTAAGTAATAAATATGATTAAAAAAAAATGAATTAAAATAATAAATATATATATTTTTTAAATTGTTTTAAATTGTTCCTCATTACAAATATTACTAGTTAGATAATAATTTTTTTAAATAATGATCTGAAACTCTCTGTTTTTAAAAATTCATAAATTTAATAAATTAACATGGTTTTATTAATGTATAATCAATATTTGTGTAATTCTGTAATTCTCAAATTAAAAACATTATTTTATTTTTAATGTCTCTCGTTTGAATTCCATCTTTTATAAAGTGGTTCTGTTTATATTTTGATATGAACATATATTTAATTTAGCACTTTATTTATTTCATAGCCAGTCACCAGCACCTTGCCAAGCTGCCAGGAAACACGGGACCCTTCCTCTCCGCCTTCCCTTACGCCAACTGCCCCCCGGAGGCGGCAATGGCCGGGGGTGGAACGATGTTCGCCGGCCACCACCACCACCATCACCACGCCATGACCCCGTCGCTAAACCCCATCGACCGGCTCTACTCGATGCAAAACTCGTACTTCTGCGGCGAGGACGCCTCCGCACTCACCGAGCAGTGAGCTGAATTTTTTGCAAGCGGCCCTTTTAGTTGCAAAGACTGATATGTGTGGAGGAAAACCCCTTTTTAGTTGCAACATAGGCACTCACTCGAAAATCGATTTATGGTTCTAGTCATATGATTATTGTTAGTGCGGGCAAATAATGCTCTCTTCTATTTGTGTCAATTTTTGATTCGGGGAGTTTGATCAATGCTCGTTTAATCAGTGTCTCCTCGTCGGCTACATTGATGTGTCAACGCAGTTCAATAAGGGCAGAAATAAATGTTGAAGCAACTGAATTTGATGTTGAGTTGATTTTTCAAATTCCCAAAAACTTTAAAAGTTTGTTATCCTGACTGATGCATGGTTTTGATTATTATTTATTTAGCTACCAAATTGGAAATATAAAATATAATTAAAATCAATAAAAAAATTGAAATATTCAATTAAGTCTCCTAAAAACATACTCTTGGATAAAAAAAATTGCTTTTCCTTAACTTTATTCTTCTTCACCTTTTTCATAAACAGTTCAGTTTTTTTTTAATATTTTTTTTTAATTTTGGACAGAATTTTCCTTTGTCAGAGACGGCAACAAAAGGCCGTGCTTTTTGACTTTTAATTTTCTATTTAGGGCCGCAGTGTATTTATGCGAGCGTATACAAACATTTCATTCCCTAGCTCTTGTCTTGTTTTTGCCGCTCAACTCTCCCCCGTCGTCGCCGTGTCATAAAGTGCAGAAAACGCGCCGCCCTTGTTTTGTTGAGCCGAATTTCGCCACCCCCGCAGCACCCCTGACTCGAACACCATTTCTCCTTTCACCCCCAGAGCTGGAGAGACGAACGAAGAAAACCGACCAGAGAGCTTTTTGCAGCAGCAGCAGCAGCAGCCGCGACGCTACATTCGCGCGCGCGCGTGTCACCAGAGTGTCGCATTTGTCTTAATGTTCATTCAAGAGAGGGAAGAGAGATCGAGAGCGAAATTAAGCAGCGGAGCACGAACGAAACACGCATACTGAAACTGAAAACAACTGTGAATAAGTTTGTCGCTTGTTTCGCCTAAAGTCCCACTTCCTGACAGACTAATTGCTGACATTATGAATTTGTAATTTATCTTGATGAATTTCTTATTCTTCAGAGAAAATTGTCGGAAACAAGCTCTTATATTTTTTTGCGATGATGCGATCAATACAATAAGCTTAAAAAATGTCAAACACAATAAAAAACATTATGAAGATAGTTTTTGGAGATTAAAATAAGATCCATTGAAATTGTTTCAATGTTCAATTTTAAAAATTGTTGAAATTTAACATTTATTGTTAGATTATTCCTGTAAAACAGTAACTAATATTACATTAATTATGCATTAAAGTTTGAATTTTTATATTGCACCTCATTTTTTTTTCTTAATTTAAATTCACTCAAATATTTTTCAAAAAAATAATTTCTAAATTCTCCTTTTTTCTGGCTCTCTAATGTAAAAAAAAAACTCGACGACAGACGACTGCATCAAATTAAGGGCTTTTTTCTTTCGGTTTAAAATAGGGTTGACCGTTGCTCTCTCCTCAATTAAAATGAATTGGTGGAGCTTCTTCTCCAGCGAGAGAAAAAGAGAATGATGCGTGTGGTGTATACGTGCTCTTGAAAAAGAACAATAATTTATTACCTGTGTGTGCGCGTGTGGAGGCGAAAGCTGGCAGGCAACCCGCACAACTTTTCAAGGGCTTTTTCGACCATTACCGCGCCATAAAAGCAGCTCGGCAGCAATTTCATCATCCAATTTTCATTTCTTCGCCCAGTGGCTTTTTTACCTGCCACAAACAGAGCAGCAAGGATGACGCGACACGGGCACCCGAGCACACACTCTCGTCAGCTACAATATTTTAGCAAAATTAAAAGCAATTCATCAGAGAGAGAGAGAGAGGAGCCGGCACGGCGTGCTTGATGTTATAGGTACCGCCGCGTTTATTACATCACGTGTGCAATTTAATGAAAGGAGGGCTGACTGCTGCGGCTCAGCCTTTGATGCGTCCCTGTCGCAAGATTGCTCTTTTTACTGATAAATTTCGAGTTTATTTTTACGAAGCTTTTATTATTTAATGAAAAAACCATTTTTAGTGAACCAATAAAAAAAGATGCAAAGTAGGAAAGCTAAAATGGTTTACTTTTGTGTGGGTTAGGTAGAATTTTTTTTAATAATTAATTTTGCAAATAAAATAGATAAAAAATATAATTTGTGCAAAATCAAGTATAAAATCTATTTATTTTATTTAATTGTTGGAAATTACCAATTAATAAATGTTTTATTTAAAATTGATGTTTTCCATTAAAAATTGCAATTGTTTTTACTTATTATTTGCGCTCATCGAATTTTATGGCAACCATATTTATTTTTTAAATAAGGAGAATAAATAATGGACAGGTTTTGGAGGAAAGGAAAACCTGCATTAAATTTCGTATAGAAATTACCAAAAGTAAACAATATTTCCACGCTGCTGCCGTTTTTCTATGCTCCCTATCCATTGTGTTGTGCTGGAAAAGCAATAATTTTTCTTTTTTATAGCTCGGGAATTCCTGCGGCTGAAAGTTTTATGGGTTTGCAGCAGCTATAGCTAGGGCAACTGCAGTAAAACTGCTGGAGAAAATACCGATCATTTTTCATATTATAAACCGGCCGCGGTGTGTGTGTGTGTGTGCAAGTATGCTGTGCTCGGCGCCGCCGTCGCTGCAGATAAATAAATACACACACACGCCGGGCGCCATGCAGCAACGTGATATTGGCACCCCGAGTTTTTGCGGTCTCTGATAAAAATTATACCGCGCGTGCCAACGCCGGCGCTTTATTTATTAATAGTTGCGAACAGAACTGGGCGAAAACAAAGGAATGGAGAGCAGAGATATTGGGAGCACCAAAATTGCCCACAAAACGGTTTCCGAAATTGGATGGCGAGTCCAGAATGCGTTCCATTGAAACAAAACGTGATTGCCCTTTCATTGGGTTACTTAATTTCTTCCAAAAAAGTTTCGTTATAATTTAAAAATAAAACGTTTGTTTGCAAATCTGATCTCAAATAATATAGTTTTTAATTTCAAGTCAAAAAATTATGAGAGAAAAAGGGCACTACTCATATTCCACGCCTAAAATGAAATAATTATTCCAAGCCTAATTTGCACCTAATCACGTATAGTTTGAATCTGATAAGCCTCCCCCTTATTGCATTACAACTCACAATGGCTTTCCCACTCGGGGTGCAGAAGCGCAAAAGCAACACAACATTGTAGGCAGCCATCGAAGCGGATGATTCGATTAAACATCATCATCGGAGTAGAAAATGAGACGTAACAAGACCTGCTTAAATAATTTGCCGCCTCAGTGAATCGCGCGAGCTTTGTTTTGATGTCGTCGAGTTGTTGTTGCCCTAGCGAAACGCTGCACATGCGAGATGTCTTTGTTTCAAAAGGTGCTTCGAGGACCACCCGGATTCCTGCTGATTTAATTTCGAGTGCACTGGAGCAAAATTCAAGCATCGTTTCCCCCTCGACGGCTTCGCAAAATTAATTTGTCGTCTCTTTGCGAGAAATGTTTATTTGCAGTTTCAAGGATTTTTTTTTAAATGTTGGTTCCAGTGAACCTGCAAAGATTTTATTATTCAATTAATGCTGTTTTCTGTTTTATTAGTTGCCAAGATGTTTTAGTCACCTCTACAAAGATTTTTACAAGACAATACTTTGACATGTTGCTAAGTAATAAAAAAAGACTTAGATTTTCCAAAATATAAATTAGCAATTGAAATAAAATAAACAGCAGATAAGATAATAAATAATTAAATATTGGAAAAAGTTAAGATACCATAGACATAAAAAGTTATTATTAAGTTAAGTTTATCTATATAAATAAAATAAATTGTAGTATTTTTCTGCATGGATGTTTTCTAATCTATGGAAGCTTTGATTCAATTATAGGTGATCGCACTTTGTTTGGAAAAAATCTGAACACCTGTCCTGCTTATGACACGCATTAGAGTAAATAGCAGCGTTTATCAGATCATCCTGTCGGGTGTGTATTTAAACAGGGTGTCATCAACTCAACACCCCCCTTATTATGGGTTGTGTATATCATATGCACAATTGTATGTTCAACCCGGTCGTAAAATAATTAGCCGCTGTTTGTTTAGCTGCCATGAGGTGCGAGTGGCCAGTTTCATTTGCGGGCTGCTATCTCTGCTGTAATAATTGTAATGGTTATTGTCTTATTGTTAGGCAGCGGCACGACCGAAACACAGAGAGGTCTGTATACCGTTGGCCCAACAGATTGCTTGGCACTTTTGCTTTTATTGCAGCCACCAGAGCACAGCAGCACGCAGAATGGAACAAGATGTTTGATTGTAATGCTCACTTGAAGATAGAATTTCAAAAAATATAAATATATATTAAAAGGGTGAAGTTTATTCACTTCTTTATTATTTATATTTGTTATTAAAATTTCTGAATTCTTAATTTATTTAACATTATTTATTTTTATTTTAGTATATATTTTTCAATATTTCTCTTAAGAAAAATAATTTGGATTTCATCAATTTTCATCAAAAAATTCAAATTTAGCAGCAGAAAAACAGCTTCTACGAATATGCGAGAAGGAAGTGTGAAGAGATTTGGAATTTTATTAAACTTTTTACGTTTTTTTTTAATTGTCGATAGCGTTGCCGATTCCAAAAGAAAAGTTTGAAACCCATTTTCTCTCTGCCAGAAAAGTATAAAAGGAGGAAAGTTTAGTTGGGGCATCAAGTACACGGCGTGGCACATACATAAAGAATAAACCGAGCAACTTTGGCAAAGTTTGGTCTTATTAAGACGGCAGAGTAGCAGCAGTCGGCGGGAGCCCTTCTGTACTTTTAAGTGCTCATCAACTTTTCCATAAGTCTCGGCCGAAGAAGAAAATTTCCTTCTCCTGCGGAGCAGCGCAGCAGACTCTTTTACTGCCGTATATTTTTCGCTCATAACACTGGCGGGGAGGCTTAGGGCTGGTTCATCCCTTTCTGCGTCGCACAATACTGCACACACGCTTCTTGCCGACGAGCATAAAAGAAAAGATTTCACTCGGGGGCAGCCAGTGAGATTTTTTTCCCCGACGAGAATCCCAACAGCTTTTCTTCTTATATCTGCCGAGCTGGAGAGCTTAGGGAATCTAATATCGGCGAGGCTGATCCGGCACAACGTTCTCTCCGGCTCTTTATTCGGCTCAAAGAATAAATAAAGAGAGCGAGCGGGCGAAGAAAAAACGCCTCTGCTGGAATTTGCAAAAATTCTCCCCGAACAGAGACCG